ACATCGTTGCAGTCGCTGCAGCGCACACAAGACGTTGCTTCTTTGCTTCGATTCGAGGAAGACGCCAAAGAGCTTTGGCGAGCTCAGCCTTGCGACGTCCAATTCAGGGTATGTCTGGTACCTCCGGGGTTTGCGTCTAATTCGAGACGGTGGTTTTCATCGCGTGGTCCATCTGGGTACCTTGTCGAGCACGTGGGTCTTGAGTATGAAGAATGGATCGAGGCTTGGGTTCCGCAAGACTGCGTTTAGCAGGTCATGGTACGTTTGTGCCGCGTAGTAGCTTTTTGAACGAGGCTGACACAAGGCGCAGACAAGATACTCTGATTCGCTCCTGCGTTCTGGTATCGCCATGTTAACCGATCAGCTTAAGGGTGTAGCACAAATGAAATAAGATGTAGGGTGTCGCAGAACCTTTACTAAAGACGGTGTATGTATCAGTAGAGAGGAATGTTGCTCAGCCGCGTTGATTTGAAAGGGCAAAAGCATGAGAAGGACTTTAGACCAACATCTTGATGAGAATGACATGTATGTATTGTAAGCTGAGCAACTAGGAGTGACTCAAGGTAGGAATGAAGAACGAAATGAACCCAACGATGCGATACCATGTTCCAAGCCAAAAGCGAATCCTCATCAGCGTGAATGCTGTCTGAGAAAGAGTAAACTCAAAAGAGGAGACTAACTAGTAGAAGAAAGTATCAAGAGACGTGTCAACGTTGCTTCCACAATCGCCGGTTTTGATATACCGATACTCGTTCCACTCTTCTTCCTCAGGATCGCCACTATTCCGTATGTAGTAATGATACTCTATCCATGTCAACGCGGGTACGTCGATCTGCGCAGAGTAGTTCGCGGATTTGGATGCAATGGATGCAAGGCTAAGCTCTCGCGTTAACATTCTGGCGTCCTTCGTCTCTCCATTGCCGAGCTCTGGGACATCACCAACAACGTATAACAAGTTGTTGGGGTCCGAGCGAACATGGAAAGTCACACGGGCGTGACAGTAACATTGCGACAACTCGAAGGCGTTGTTCTGCGGCTCACCCCAGCTGGGCCCTTTTACACTCAAGCGACGATTTGCAGCTGTGTAAAACGCAGCGTGTGACCATGTGAAATCGGATGGGTAAATTGTCTGGCCATTGTTTCTGTCGAATTGAGCTGGGAGTCGTCCATCTGGGGGAGTGTATTTTCGTACGACAGCCATATAGCTATCAGCATAGTCGACTATGAAGGAGATGATCGCCATGAAGTTGTTCCTGTCTCGTGCGGTGGGACCATAGCCATAAGTACCGACACTGATCCCCGGTAATAGGTCTCGAAAGAAGGGTAGCGAGGTTTCATCGACAGTCAGTTCTCCTTGATCCAGCCACTGATTTAGAGCTAAATACAGCTGTTCTGCTGCCGCGAGTGTGGTCAGGAACCATGGGTTACCACCGTGATCATCATCCTCAGGATATCTTCCGACCGCAACCCCCCGGTTTTGCGCAATGCCACTGTTGATGCCGTATAACGGGCGGAAGGCGTCAGTTACTGTTTTATGATTGGCTAGAGCTCTGGAGGAGCATGGCTGAAAGGTACTGTCTGTGCACTTGGCCTGAGGATCGTACGTGTGAACAGAAGACAGGATAGTGCTTGCGTCAATGTCGCTTGGTTGACCTTTGTCGTTGAAATTCGCGTGCATGTAGTTGGTACCCCAGAACGTCTCCATGAAACACAGTATTTGTGGTGCGGCGGAAGCACAGCCGTCGCAGCGTCGATCCAATGTCTTTGCCAGAGCCATGCCTTCAGAGCGCGATGGGATGCTGAAAGGGTAAAGGAGGATGAGCCGTTTGTTTCTTCCCACAGATCGAAGCTGGTATGGTTCCAGTACCGTGCAATGTGTCTGAGATCATCCATGATGATCGGCCAAATCTGGAAATTGACTCTACTCAGATAGAACGAGGGGTATTTGGTCCCTTCTTCGGCTGCAAGCAGATGCTTGGCGTATATGATCAAAGCTGTGGCACGAAGTGCGGGACCATCTTGTTGAGGGCGATTCCACGCACCCGTGAAAGCAGTGCCGTTTGGATAGAATTTGGGCTCACCAAGACCTCCAGACCAGTGACGACCAGAAGGGTTTGACATTAACCGTAGCCTGTCTTGGGATTTCACATAATCGTCTATGTGATCCGAAATCTTTGGCTTGTCTGTCACGGATAGGCGTTCGATGAGAATTTTGAAGGTCAATGCAGCGGTCCTGGTTCACGTATACAAGTCTTTATCGTTAGCTTTCAGTCGATCATAGTGGCTTCGAGGCATGTACAATTTGGATCTGACCGACTGGCAACTACCATGCCATCGACGATGTTGTCCAGCATCCCTTGCAGCGAGATTTCCTGTTGAGCTTTGATGAAAGCTTCAAGTGAATCTCCCCGCTGCTGGTGATCGATCGAATCCGCGTTCGCATTGACGAGGAGCGACGTGGCCGGAAGCACACGAAGCAGGAAAGCGGCCTTCATGTGGAGTGCTGCAGTAGTAACAATACCGCGGAGGATAATGGTTCGTGCTGCAGTAGTAACAATACCGCGGAGGATAATGGTTCGTGCTGCAGTAGTAACAATACCGCGGAGAATAATGGTTCGTGCTGATAGTCTCGTAACAATCCTGATGCGTTATCGATGGCGGCGGTGAGATGGATTGATGGAATGTTTCGGTCTGATGCGTAAACAGACAAGTCCGGGCTGCAGATGACATCCACGCTCTGTGCGACAGCCTTTGCATCATTCATGCTTGCCATGTCAGCCGTCGCTGTAGGCAAGAGCTGGGGAGTATGAGCAGGCACTGCCATCGCGCCTCATAGTCGTGGAAGTCGCACTGGGACGCGATCAACGCGAGAATGAGCGAGCCAACGTCGAAAACATTACTACGGTGGAGCGAAGTGAAGTGTCTTCATTTGAGTCTCAACGATGAGTAAGGAAGATGCCATAGTGTGTTGAGATGAGTGGTGCCGGCGGTGAAGGACGCGAAGGTTTGTGTCCAAGGTAGCTCGTCCGGGTGTCTTCGCTCCGACCAATGACGTCAGGTCGTGGCGTTGACGCGTATGCGTCGCGTGTGCCTTGCTATCTACCTCTCCCACACCTTCACCAGGTATGCGACTGCGCAAAACGACATTGACACTCCTCCGCTCTCCATTATTGGTAGCTTTGGTTTCAAAGAATGCATGCGTCAACCATGGAGGCGTGTTGAGCGTCCAGCACGACACTCAACCTCTGCTTGACCATGTGTCCTTGGCAAGCAAGCCACGGAGGCTCCCTATCAACCAGCACTTCAACTTCTTTCAGCAGCATCGAGGTGAGACCGATACGTAAACCATTCGTACATACCTACATCACTTTGACCCCCACGTTCTGGTTACAGCAAAGACCCTGAGCACATTAGGTGCGGCTACGCATCTACAGAAAATTATCCAGGTAGAAGTATACGATATCTTAGCATCTACTTATACAGTTTCGAAAGCACGTACACGACACAAAATCTAGTCATGTCTCCTATCTCCGCGTTCGGAGAGCCATGCTATAGTTTGGAACACACGTGGGTAACCAGAATCCACTTCTCGACCCTGAAACCAACACTGTGGAACGAAAATGCCTCTGCTCGCTTGTACTGGTGAAAGATGATTTCATCTCACTGTCTCACTCACTCATCACAAACTCCGAATTCTTCTAATGGGACAGATGATCACTCGCTTCGAACCAGACTACAGAGGCACACCTGGGCAACATCAGCTATCACACCAACAACTCCTACAGCCCGCGCTCCCCGGCTTTATCATGGGCTCAACAGAACCACCTCCCTCGCTCCCCTCGCCAGGAAAACCCACACCCTCACCATCTTCCACATCCATACCGCCGAAGCCCTTCCCCCTCCTCTCCCTCCCCAAAGAACTCCGGCAAAAGATATTCACTCACCTCCGTCCCATAACCCGCCACCACACCATCCCCCTAAAATCCGGGCCCCACCACCTCACTCTAGTAACCACAACAATCCCCGGCATCTCCCTCCTCGCAACAAACCACCAAATCCGCACCGAAGCATCCTACATCCTCACCCCCCACCTCTCCACCATCAAGTCCACAGCCCCGACGATAACAATCCACGCAGACCACCTCCTCGGCGTAATAAACCTACACGACTCCTTCCGTTTCCAACCCACATTCTGGACCTTCCTCTTCCACCGCCTAGAACCGCTACGACGAGACTACACCACCGCCTCCATCCTACACTACCGACGCGGCAGCATCACGTCCTCGCAGCTATCCAAGAAACTCAAGATATGGACGCTCACCACCTCCCCAGACCCCGATCTAGACATCTTAGAAGCAGTGACAACATTCATCCTCCGAATCCTTTCCTACATCGCGACATGCATCCCCCCACCAACCCTGCACACCTACCCCCCTTTAAACGTGATAATCGACATACCCGTCTCCTTCACCGGCGGCCCCATCACAGCAACCACATCCCTCCCCCGCAGTATCTGCTACAGGATATTCTTCCCGCGTCATCCTTACCTGGCTCGCGTCCGGCCTGGTTTCACAAACCTATCTTGGTTACTGCAACGCATGGTGTGTCATGCGTGTTGGGCGTTTACGTGCCGCCGCGCGACGACGGTGTGTTTGAGTATCAAAGTACGGTTTTTGGACGGGGGGGGTGGGGTGTTGGCGGGGTGGCCTGCGGGGCTGGAGGGGTGGGGGATGAGGGAGGTTGTGGTGCATAAGAGTGTGCTTAAGGGGGTGAAGAGTGCGAGGATGAGGGGGAGGGGGGTTGTTTATTATGGGGGGTTGGGCGTGGGGGGTTTGGTTTGAGGTGCACGGGCAGGATGGGATGGTGGGGAGGTGGTTGCTTTAATGGTCCAGTCTGTGTGGAGAGATTGCTGGATGTATGGTTCTAAACGAGATCCAAACTTGCATGATTAGGATGGGTATACGGACAACCCAATCTACGTACGATTATTGCAATCTCAATCATAGTACAAAGCCGCCGGTTGTGACTACCTTCCAGCTACGCACAGGGTGCGTATCTTCCAATTCTACACACCACCAGAGCACCTCTTTCGTCTTGTCGATTTGCTCGCTCTCCTCGTAGGCCCTAGCCATCGCGTACCACGCTTCCGAATAGTCCCAGCCGGCACCAAGCTTGGTAAGTGTGGACAGTAGACCGAATGCGCGATCACGGGCCGCAAGGCGAGTGAGCGTGGGTGACGAGAGCTGATTCTCTACTGACGGTGTGTGAGAGGTTAGGTATTGTGTCTTCGATGTCGACGTCTTTGTATGAATTGAGGAGGCCGATGACTGTAGCGGAGGGGAGATGGTGTCGGTGTTGGCAGGCTCCAACGGTATGACCTCGCTGTAGATATCCAAAAGGATGTTCGATAGGCCAACGATGGCCTCGGGGTGGTCTGGGAAATGTTGTAGAGCGCGCTCGAAGTCTGCACGAGCTTCATGCTTCATCGACTGGGCTACAAGCTGTTCTGCGCGCTGTAGCAATGTCAGTAGAAGTAACATCGAAGATATTGGGAGACTTACAGCAGCAAACACGTCCGCCCACAGCTCCTCCACACTCTTACCGCCACCCCACCCTTTGTCAGCGAGCGCCTTGGCTGTTGAGTGTTCCAATGACACCTCTGCTTCAAATGTTTCGACCAGCTTCAATGCTTCGGCAACAGCCTCCCTAGCATCCTGGAACATGTGCGCTCTTGCATATAATCCAGAAATGAAGATCCATATGCTAACCAGCAACGAGACTTTCTGACGACGCTCTTGGATCTTGGAAAAGTGGGGATCCGCGGGTATGTAGTCAGCATGTGGCAGGCGCGAAGGCAAGCGAGTATCCTGTCTGGGTGGTTGGTCGTCGTGACCCAAAGGCGGAGAGGAGTGATCTAGGTTATGGGCGACGGGTGGAAGTGGTGTGTCACCCTTTTCTATTGACTTTCCTGGAGAGCTGGGATTGGAAATGCGTCGAGGCGATTTGGAGTTTGCAGTATTACTGCGTGCACGAGTGCTGTTTGGAACGTGTTCTGGAAGCGGTGGTACCTCTGGAACGGTGTCTTTGCCGGCCTGACCATCATCCTGCTTGTGGTGGTGGAACAGATGGTGTCGATGATGACCGTTAGTAGGAGCTGCGCCATTGTCATCAGTGACTTGAATCGCAGGAGGCACTTCCGGTTGTGTCGTAGCTGTCTTGGAGCTGACCACAGATTTACTTCGATCAACATTTTCTTGCTGAGTCGTTCTGACTGACCCTCGTCCACGGAAGATACTACCTCGTGTGCCCGAGGCGGTCTTTGGAGGCGCCAGCGACGCAGGTTCGGGTGGAGTCTTGACTTTGTCAGCTGCCGGATCGCCGAACAGTCGACCGTACAGTGCAAGGAGCTCGTCACATCCGTCAACCGCAGCGGTGGCACCATCGGTGATCTCAAGAAGAGACAGCTGCGTCATCTTGATCTGCAGTATGTTGCTCTTTTCGAAACGTTCCATACGATCGACAATGCCAGATTCAATAGGCTCTTGACCGGCAGCCTCTTGGAGGTGTTCGCTTCGGAATGCGCCCGAGTCACGGCCGAACAGGATAGCAGGATCGCCGAACTGTTCGAAAGCCGCCTCGCATGCCTTCTCAGCAGCGGTAAACTCAGACCGTGATGTCAAAAGCAGGGCAAGAAGATGCCACACGGGTATCAACTTGCGTTCGCGTCCATATTCGGTGGTGATGCCATCCGACAGAACTCCGTCTACACTGACCGTCGTGCCCTTTGTTGCTGGAGAAAGTGCACGCTTGGCGATTTTGATGGCACCGGGAATGTCCCTTGTTTCCGCGAGAACCAAAGCGAGGGCGTACAGAGCTTCCACATTATGTTCGTCGCCGAGATTAGGTGAAAGCGACTTCCTGAGGTACTGCACAGCTTTGGTCTGGATCGTGGCCCGTGCCTCAACTTCGTAAGTGAGCCGTGCCCAGTGTGCTTGACTGATGCCAATGGCACAATAGGCGGCAGCTAGGGCCGTGGGTTCGACGAACGATGTGCTCGAAGCAATTGAGCGGGTATCAGACGTTGAGCGAAGGTGATCTGCCTGCTCCAACCAGTGCTCGATACTGTGAGCAATCTCGAGAGCCTTTTCGGCGTCATGCCTAGATCCCCATCTACAGAGCATCCTGATGGCCTCGGCAGAAGTCCTCAACACCGTGCTGTCGTCGTCAATGCCAGCCTCGAGTTCGCCTGACTTTTCCGATCGATCCTTGTTCCGCGTGATGATCTCGACATAGGAATCGTAGGCTTTGTATGCCAGCTCAGGCTCGGCTAGAGATGCGTGGACAACGAAGAGGTTGCGCAGGATCTGGGTCGAGTGGTACGTCTTGGTGGCTGCTCGATAGAGGATCTAGATGATATTAGTAATTGGATCTTCTCGGGGTTGACGAACAACTTACATCAAGCACGCCCCGCGCAACACCCTCTTTCCCTCCTTCGCCTAGATCATCGTCGCTCCAGGTAGGACCGCAGAGGAGGCGCCAGTTGTCCATGACAGATTCCACCCACGTTTCGACTTCATGATTGGTCTCGCTGGCTTTGGGAAAGTGTGTCTCTCGTATCAACAGGTTCTCGTAGACAGCCTCGACGCGTTTCAGCTCCGCCCGCTGCCGTAATCGAGCGTCTGACTGGGCGGTAGGCGTTGGCTTCTCTTGTATGATGGGCGTGGAATCGGGTTCGTAGGCGAGGTCATAGCGGAGGATTGTTGATAGCGAGTCGTAGTAGGCCTTCCATGCTAGTCTTCGATACCGTGCTGAGTTGCCCACGTCTGATGCGGCGTTCTTAGAAGTTGCATCCCAGAACTTTGCCCAGTAGCGGTAGGTGCGCAGAGCCTCGGACGCGTTGATTCGCTCGCTGAGGCCCATGGACTGGTCGGACAGCTGACAGAGACGGACGAGAGACTGTTCTCCCCACATCTTGAACTGGGCCGATTCGGTGTTCGGCGTGGTCGTCGTGGACAGCCAGGGTATTATTGACGAGTAGATCGTGGCTGCCTCACCAATCGCACCTGTCTTTTCGAGCGCGGAACCTGGATCACGTCAGTTCCCGGGCCAGAATGAGGTCACACAGTAAAGCTGTACCCTTGAGATATGTGCCCTTGACCAGACACACGCGAGACCAGCCGCTCAAGGTGCCTGCTTCGCCCGACAGCTGGGTCGCGACTGCCCCAAAGTCCTGTGGAAGCCGCGCCACTGCCAGTCCCGGCTCGTCCAGCACGTAGTGGGCCCAGCCGAGGCAGACGTTGGCCTGGAAGGCGTCTTGACCCTGCGTGCCATCTTCTTCGATTGTTGCGAGCAGCGAGGGTATGATCTGTGACAGGCCGGTGGTGGAGGCGGCAGAGGAGGCGGTCGAGGGCCTCTTGGTGCTGTGTGCGGCTATCTGGGCGTCGGAGCGCGCTGTGAGGGTGAGGCCTTGGGTCGCCGTTAGCCCTCAGAAAGACCAAACAGAGAGGTTTGCTGACATCGTCGGTGCGGCGCATGCTTCTCGACCTTGCGACACAGCTCAGGCACGTCGGCCCATCGCCCGGCGCATCGTGCCTCGTCCAGCTGCTGTATGTAGCGCTTGGCCTTTTCGCTCTCAGGGGGGGTCTGTAGGTCCTGTAAGCTACCGTTGTTGAAGATGACGTTGCTTCGGCGCCAGGGGAGAGGGAGGACAGCACCCTCGACGTACCACCATGGTGCTAAGAATATGCCTTTGGCTCTGGACAGGGTCGCGATGTCTGTAGAATCATGTTCGACGAGCAATACTGAATGCGACGACGCCGGCCATGGCTGTACACATGTCACTGACCGACTGCACAAGTCCCACTCTTCCAGCTGGCCCGCACATCCCTGCAGCCCTAGCGCGTGCGGTCCGACGCTAACTCCGGGCCTTGAACTTTTTTCTACCAGCCGTCGACAACAGCCATCACGCTGATCAGAGACGGGCTGAACAGATCAATAACCAGGGGAATCGCTATCGTTATGGCGCCCATTGCTTCCGAACTGGCGACGCTGCGAGCGCTCAGTTTCCGCATCTCGTCCACGCCAACATCCCAGCTCCCCCAACACGTGCCTGCCATAGCTGCGTCATTAGCCAATTGCAGGGCCATTCTCTCTTCGGCCCAGGCTTCAGGTACCAAAGCGACGTCCTCGGAAGCATCCGTCGCTATACATAAGTACCGCACTCTACTCACCACTCTGCTCCAAGACCGGACTCCCCAAGGAAGATGGTGTGCCATAGTCTTGATCAAGGCCACGATTGAAGTTGGAGGTTGGGAGACTCTGCAGAAGAGTTTGCCATGGGTGCGTGGTCTCCTTGGATTCTTGAACAAGCCGGATTCGCCGTCGTCCAAGAAGCTGTGCATCATCACCTTGACGCGCATCTTCCTTCTGACCAGAGAGTACCCGACGTTGATCCGCGAAATCACTACTCCGTCGCTATCACCTTTCGTCCAAGTCTGTCTACAGATAGCGAATGCCAAAGCTACCCCCGCCAGTCTGCTACAGATTATCCTAGAGAGCTTCAACGAGCTGCTGCCCAGACACCCTACCATCTTCCGGTCTTATCTAAAGCAACTTTACCCGCTTCTCGGACGTCTCATCGCACCCACGCCATCTGATAAACTCAGCCAAGAGCAGCGAACTGGAACCAACCATGGAGCTTGTTCGGATATTGCAGCTGCGGCGCGCCAACTCTACGTCCAATTACCTTGCTGTGCACCAAAAGGAGCCTCGAGCGAAGAGTGGACTAAGGCTGTCAAGAACATCACGAACGTTACCCATCAGACAACAGACCGTGTGTTTCGCGCTGTGGTCGAGGACTGGCAATCGACGGCACGTGAAGCAGCTCTTTCGAACGGCCACACACTGGATGACGAAGTTCAAGACCTGGAGCCTGGCTCAGATCTCTCCGCCTGGTCGGGAATCTTCGCTGGTGGCGAACGCTTGACAGGCCTTCTCCACGTCATCAAGGAGTACATCGAAAGCCCCACGGCCAACACGGTGTATCTCAACGTTGGCATGATCGTTGACCTACTCTCGAGAATGCTTTCCCTTACCATTCCCGTGGCGGCGAGCAAGAACTTCCAAAACACTGTACGTCTAAACGCCCAAGTCAGCAAGGACGAGCGTGAAAGCCTTTGGCTATTGTTGCCAGACGTACATGTCGCCGCGATTGAAGTGCTTCTTGCTCTAGCACACAGATCCCAGAGCAGCACGTTAGCACTAGACCCTGCCATCATTGACCAACTTGTGTGGGTATTTAGTGCGGAGAAGGAGACAGCTCAGATTAGAACAGCATGCTACACGGCGATTGCTGCTTTGTTGAGGAGATCTGGAGTCGCTCTCCACAAGACTACCATCGATTCCCTAGTACCTCTCATTCGCGCTTGCTGCGACGATCTACTACCGCCCGAGACCGCGGCGCCTACAAACCAACAGACTCCCGGCCAGGCTAAGGCCAATGGCAACAGTCAGCCCCAGACCACTGCCAACGCCGATAGCTTCCTTGGCGCTGCGAAGAACGCCGGCGGCCCCAACGCTGGATTCCCTGGACTCCAACAAGCCGCGCATGATCTGCTTCCGGTTTTACTCTCGAATATCCCAGCTCAATACCTGTCTGACTCGATCCGAGCTCGTCTGGACCGCACCGCCATTCTCATCCAGCACAAGGACGCCATGGTAGCTAGCGTGCTGAACCCACCGCCGAGCAAGAAATTTGGAAAGCCCGCAGCAAGTATACTACCACTCATGGCCCGATCCTTTTCCGCCGAGATAGATGTAGAGGGTATGATCAGACCAAGGATGCCAGTCATTCGCCTGGGTGGCAAGGATTTGGAGTTGGACGATGGCAACGATGAAGACGAAGACATGGAGGTTGAGGATGAAGAAGTTGAAGAAGAAGAGCAGCAAGCTCTGGAGCAGGCGGATGACCACTTTGCTGGACAAGAGTTGGACAATCTGCTGGAAACCGCTGGGCAATCAGATACGGCAGCGAGGGACTTTGCTATGGAAGATGCGCCAGCACCCACCAAGCCTGACGTTTCCACTCCACGATCAGTTCGCAAGGGTACGCTTGCGCAACGCCCTAACATCTCCGAACCTACCGCATTCAGTGAAACCAAGCGGCCGATAGGCGAAGACGGTCCTCTTTCGCCTTCCAAGCGAGCAAAGACTGGCGAAGACGAGCAGCGCACAACACACCCAATGACTCCTGCGCCAACAACGTCTGTATCTTTCAGCAAATCTACTCCCACTACGGACGTAGCCGCTACGTCAGATTTCGCCGCCACTAGCACCGCCTCGGCTGTCCCTGAACTCCCCGAGCCAGGTGAAGGAGACCTCGACGACGAGGACAGTGACGATGACAAGATATCGCTTGTGCTTGGAGTAGACACGGACGATGAGTCTGATTAGCGCTTGTGTGAAAACAGTAGTTGTATAGTCACCTTGGCTTGTGAGAATGTAGTGAAGTAGTAATGACAAGCGCGATCCCTGCACGGACATATATCTCGACTTCGCAGTGACCGATGATTTCCTCATACTAGTCCCTACAGCCCGCGCATTTCCCAATACCCTCGTCCGCGACGCCCTTGTCTCCATAGACACAACACCTACCACCGCCCACCGCCCGCAACAATGACACAACCTCCCCACCGCGCCCCAGCCAAACGCACCGTCCCCAAGATCGTAGCCCCCAAACCACCCGCCGCCGCCCCATCTACCAAACCCCCCGCAAAACCTCAGAAAGAAAAGCGATACCCCTTCGACTCGCACCAAGACGACATCGTAGTCAACACGACTGAACTCGACACCGCCCCGGGCTACAGGCGTGGTCTAGTGGACTACCGGCATAAACTCACGCTGAAGAAGACGTATGCGCATATCACGACGGACTATGCGGAGGATATGAAGATGACGATTCCGAAGGATGCGGTTACGCCGTTGGGGTCTGAGACGGTTGGTGATGGGGATGGGGATGACGATGACGACGACGGGGACGACGACGACGAGGATGAGAAGAGCAAGACCAACGTCGACAACCCCAAATCCAAGCGAGACGAACGTACCTACGTCCCCGAAATCAGCGACACAATCATCGATTACACCCGTCTGCCCAAACCGCGCTGCAACCGCCCTAACTACGTCGAATATATCTACCGCGCTACAACCACCAATCCCGCTGTCTTCCTCGCTATCCTACGTGTCGCGGAGAGGAACTTGCCGTTTATAAATTTCGACTCGGCGATTACACATTTACCCAATTTGGCGGCGAATGCGAGGCTTCCTGGTATACCGGGCCTCTCAGCCCTGTCGTCCGAGTTATCTGAAGCGTTGGAGGCGTCCGAACCGTCAAATCACCCGCAGAAACACAAACCCAACCAACCCGCGTTCATAGAAGACACACCCCACGAGAAGAAAGAAGCAGACATGACAATGACGATACTCTTCCTACCGAACCTGTACGAAGACGGCCGCCACGCGCTCGGCTACTACGCCCTCGCCCCAGAAGCAGACCCAGACACTAAACAACTCAACCCAGAAGACGTTGTGCAAATCCTCTTCACACCCTGTGGCATATCTGATTTAGTGGAGGCGAGGTTGTTGGAGTGGACGCCTATTGATCCTGATATGAAAGCACGGGCTGATGAGAAGAAGGGGGAGAAGGACAAGAAGGGAGATGGGGTGGAAGGTGGGGATGGTAAGGGGGCTGGGGAGGGCAAGGGAGGAGATACTGGAGATGGAGACGAAGAAGAAGAAGAGTTGGATGTCGAGTACATAGAACATGTGGCTGCGAGGGGAGGTGAGTGGTTAGAGCGGGATGTAGTAGGAGATTGGGAGGAGTGGTGTAGGTGTTTTAGGGTTGCGAGGAGGGTTTGGGAGAAGGTGCTTAAGGGGGTTGTGGAGGTTAAGGAGGTGGAGGATGTGAAGGAGGAGGTTGTGGGATGAGGCTGGGGCTGAGGGCGGTTAGGCATCTTACGGCGGGGGTGAGTTAGGTGTGCACGGCTGGCGGAGAACATGCACAGGTGAGAGTCGCAGCGGCGCATGCCACAAGGGCAGAGTGTAAGAAAGGTTTCATTGTACGAAGAGCTCGGTTCGGAGGTGCATCTACATGTCGATCCAAATAGTTCGCTGAGCACCGCTGCGGTAATTGCGAAAGCGTCAATCACGTTCTTCCAGTGCCATCTTGGTCTTCTGCTGTTCCTCATCCGTAGTGAAGTTTCCGCTACGTTGGCGATGTGATGGTCGTAGTGACTCGTCGTCTACGCGTATGGGCAAATGTACTATCTCCCCCTTATCGATGTCTGTCATTCTGACATACGTCCGATTGGGAACGAACTTTGCATGAATTTCCAACTCAAAGCGACTCCTTCCGATGAAAATCTCTCTCGAAATAGAAATCCAGGCTTTGATACGAGAGGCTAGTATACCAGGAAGGATGATGGATTTGGACTCGCAGAGCTTTTCGAGTGGCGTGGTCATACAAGCATCTCTAGACTCAAACTCCAGGTTTACTGTGGGAGCCATCTGTTCTTGTATGATACCATGGTGACCTGGCTGTAGGTCAGCTGAGATGCTGCATTGTAGCTGTCCTGGAGAGGCCTGACTCCAGCCAACGCAGAACCTTCTAGTACTACCTGGCATATTAACGAAATCTATAGTGCCGGTGAGGGATGTGGTTTCTGGTAGGTGCTCTGCGACTAGAGGAGGGTATGAAGTGACTTCGTATCCCATTTCGTAGACCATGGGTTGTATATTGACGCGTATCGGCGCTTTCGCATGGCGCTGGTATTGATGCGTTGTCTTCTCCCCAACGAGGGTTATTCGAGCTCGTTTGATATTCCTTGGATTGTAGGATAGTCTGTGAGGTAACCACATCACTGCAATCGTTAGCTAATTCCTCCGAAGTATCCGGCTTTTCGAGTCAACGTACATTCCTCGTTTTCCAGCTGGCGGTCGGTTATCAGAACAGCCTCCATGGGATGTTTCGACCCTAGCCGGAAAAGACTGATATAGCCAGGGCTTCGACGAAACATCAACTTCTTTCTATGTACAGCTGATAGTAGGATAGCCGGTCTCATGGAAGGATCTTTGTCTATTGAGCAGTCCAAGATGCCAATGTAGTCATTCCGGAGCATTCCGTTTCCTTCCAGTGGACAGATCAGCATCTCAACAGATAGTGTAGTCCCAGAGAGACTAGTGTTTGTACCACGGGCGGGCATGTGCATGTTTCGTACTTCGTCGCGGAAAAACGTAGGATGTGGTGCTAACAACGGAGACTCCCCAGTGAAGAGATCCTTGGACAAATCCGACCGGAAAGCCAATATGGAATGGTCTGACGATATGCCAAGGATAGCTTTTTGTAGTCGGTAGAAAGCTTTCTTCCCTTCGCCGTATAACAGGGGCATGTTCACGTCGAACAGCCCCATCAGACAGTAGGCGATGTCTTCTTCTCGCGTCGTCTTGCGTTTAGAAGCCCATTTCATTTTTTGCGCCACACTGAATCCGTCTAGCATTGATTGTACGTCGTCTTCCTCGGTACTTGTGCAACATTTACATTCCCTCTCGGTGATCGTCTTCCGGGAGTACGAGGTGTCGTCGAGTTCACCTGTGAACTCCGCGACCAAATGGCCCTTCTCCGTCGGTATTTGGAAGCCCATCCGTCCAAGATGTCTTCTTAACAAAACCGATGCGTGGATGCCACTACTTTCCGACAGCTGTGCCGCAAGAGATATACGACTCCCAAGGAAATCCCAGTTCATATCATAGAAGTGCACGCGATCTGGAGCAATCATCTCCTGTAGTGTCCACCCACGAGTGAGCCAGCGACATTCGGACAGCGAGTGGGGATCTCCAGATTTGACATCGGAGATATATGCGTAGCAGATAACGGCATCGCGGTACCATCGAAACATTGAGTTGATAGCTTCCGAAAGCTCTGTGCTGCTGTCCTTGTTGATGTTGCATGTATCGATCCAGACGAAGTCGCATCCATCTTCCAAGGCCTGTTCACATGTCTTTCCTATCTTGAAGTAGCCTTTCTTAGCACTCCATTTGGCCCTGGAAGTGTCACGCATGTCTTCAAAGACCACCTCCTCACCCTCCCATGTGTGGGATAAGATCGCGTATTTCGGTTTGATCGCGCCCAATACATCGTGAAATTCGTACGTCCTGGCATTCAAAAGTCTCATGGAGGTCGTGATCCGATTGCGCCGCGCTTGCGCTACCGTGGGGGCGAAGAAAGTGGGGCTTCAGCTTTGATAGAATGCTGTCGCAAAGCAAGCCAGCAAAAGCAAGTGTAATGTTTGGGTATTTGGAAAGCCTGGAGATGATGCTGTGGGTTTCATCTGGATGCATCATCTCAGCGCGAGTCCTGAAGGACGAACCAGATGCATGAAGTGGCGTGAAGACATGTCCGCTTCAGCTGCGCCCCTCACACACATCCTGGAACGCTCGCATGCAGATGACCTACAAGGTTAGCGCCATGCACACTTGGCGATTTTGAATGCCTGGCATCATCAAGCAAGTACTCAGCCTTCGTCGTTGAAGTGCGGGTGAGAACAGGCCTCCGTCAACGGATGTCGTATAGAATCCATATGTGCAATGCGAGGTCGCGTGCGCGGAGAAAGCCGGCGCAGCGCAGCCTCTTGGAAGATGCGACAACAGTGGCGCAAGATTCGTGACAGGCGAGATGCAATCAGACACGTAGAAAGAAGAGAGCACCATGGAGGTTCAGAAGCTCCGGTGCTGGTGAGTTGCCGCTGCCGTCCGCACCTGGGCACGCGACGCGCAACGCTAGTCTCCTTTGGTGTGCCTAGCGCGACACGGGCACGCGTTCTTGGGCGGCGGAGACCTGGGCACCTACCCAGGCACAGTACTCCCCTTCCTGCACGACATCTCTCACACGAACCGCGCTTCTCCTGCTACAATGATGACCTGTGGACAGCTACAACATGCCCGGGTGTTCTCTATAATCAGTGTGAATGAAGGTGCATCCTGCCCTGGTGGCGTCGACTCTTCAGGGGACATCTGAAAGCCATTCGGATGTATCCCCACCCTAATATACACCTCCAGCGACCATCAGGAAGCAACAGCAGACCGCAGTCCGAGTCAAAAGCGCGTTTCGTTGTTTATCAAGCATTCTGGCGTCACATCGACCTCATCAGTTCTCGTCTTCAAGAATGACTGTATATATCCTGCTGGATATCTTCATGTGCTTCTGGCACGATGTCGGCGGGTTTGCAATTACCGAGCTTACCACACCGTTCTGGAAAGTCAAAGTGATGACACTGGGACGAGAGAAAGCAGAAATGGAAGGTGTAATACACACGAGAGCCTTTCACTCTGTACTTACTACGGCTGCCAAGATCTGGACCGAATTCCCACCGCTACACTCAACCTGGGCGGAAGCGTAGATTCCGGGTTCATTACCGCCTTTGGGTCTGTCTTCCCTTGGTTTCCTCAACGCATTCCACACCACTACACTCAGTAAACTCCCCTTATTGGAACAAAGTGCACCCGAAGGGGGACAATACACTAGAGCCACGATGTTGCTGATAATACTCCTCGTCCTCTTTGCTTGGTGCGCCGTTCCGGTACCTCCTGTCTCTTTATCTTTCTAACATCAAAGCTAGCGCTCCCGACGGAGGCATGGGTTGGTTCGGCGATTCGTTGGTTGTCCCACAACTTCTCAATCGTCACGATACTAACATCCCCAGGTTCGGCGCCGACAAGAGCGGTCGCTGGCCGAAGCACCCCGATAACAGCGGCAAGACCGAGATCGCCTACTGCTACGAAAACAAGGCTGCCAAAGATGAGCTTGAAGGAGTTATAGCGGAGGGCTGGGGAGCGTGGCAGCGTTCTCTTGGTCGATGGGGCAAGGAGAGCGGCCATTCACTGCTCTTTACACGGCGCCTTGTTCCTGGCCAGGACATCTACTGCTATCTGGCAAATGGCAATTGGAATCCGTTGTTTCCGGCAGATACCGTTGTCATCAAGCGCGGAGCCCCAGGGGGCTGGGCAGGAGCGTCTTCTTTGGGATATAGGTCTGAAGGTTCACCTGGTCGTCATCAATTGAGTATCGGCCACGCAGAACAAGCACCAAACAGAGATCTCGCATGGGGTAAGTTGAGAAGCGATTTTCGATTGTCCGGACCCGCTGACAGGTAGACAGTCGTAGCTCACGAGCTAGGTACAACTATTTCTCCTCCACCAGTATGCAAGCGATAACTAATCGAATCCATCCAGGCCACATCTTCGGCTTAATGCACGAACACTCACGCGGAGACCGCGATGACTACGTCCAATTCAACGGTCCCAGTCTCACCGGCTACCACGAAGCTCTCCAAAAGGCTGCTGCCGACGGCTTTACCATAAACGAACTCTGTAACATCTTCAATGTTGCGAAGCACTACCAATTCGACGCTTCAGAGTACTACAAGTGGACGAACGACGGCTTGGCATACAGCGCGGAATATGATTATGATTCGATCATGCATTACAGCTCATGGCAGAGCCACAACCCTGCTCTTGTCAATCAAGATCAGAACAACCCCGATAATTACCCTTTGGTTCGACTCACTGGTGGAAAGAATGGTCAGAAGTCGCTCCTTCCGCTGCCACGTCCGAGTGGGCAGTGGGGAATTTCTAGATTGGATAAAGAGGCTATCAAGTTGTTGTATCCGTGGGAGTAACCGGTCTTCCCGCGCTAGACCAGTGATCTTTATGATACCGACGCACTGACGACCATCATCGCTTTTGGATCGCTCGATCATTCCATTCTTCGCCCATGACCGCGAATAGCTAGATGAAGACTTAGACGGGAAGTGTCCAAGAAAACTACTAAGTACACTTGGAAAGCTGCACTTGCTGTAGCTCTAATAGACGCTCAACTTTGAGCTCAAATTTCGTGTCTCACCATACGCTCCAGTCTCAGTCTTCGCCAGTGACGCGTTCAACCAGCAATACCTATATCATGCGTCGTAGGCATACCACATGTTAGTCAGAATCTGGCGTATTGAACGCGGAAATTGCAGTTCGTTGACAACCTTACGCTTGACTCTACATAGGTAGTGAAAGAGCCTCCACCTAGGGTTCAAAAAGCGTCCGCCCGAGAAGTCCAAAGCGCACAGACCAAGAAGTGGTGTCCCTAGTCGTTCATCTCGGGGCTAGCAGAACTATTGCAAAGACCTATACATTCTCTTTCCCTTGCACCCGCGTTGTTTCCGCCGCACTGACACCGCACCCGGTGCATTGGCCCACTCCACCTTCGCTGCCTACCCAGGGACCTGCATCGACTATACATACTACTAGCCTCAACCCACCAGAAGCTCTACCACCGACCAATCCCAGAATCTACCCTCGGGAACTCAACTCAGCGCCCAGCCATGCTGCCCCTACTTCTTCTCTTCGCCTTCTTTAGGGTCGTCTTTGCTGGGTTCGTCATCCATTATTCGATCTTGTGAACAACCTCGACACTTGCTAACTCTTGCAGGCACCCTGTAACAGCGGAAAGGAGGTGGCCTCGTGATGAATATACGGCAATGTTCACAATCTATTGGTGCTTCGAGAATCAGCTCGCAGAGACACAGATCCCGGTGCAGCGCATGGAACAGGCATGGCTTGTTTGGACCTCAGTCATGGGAACGGCTTCTGAAAACAACCACGCCTTAGAATTCAAACGTTGGAAACATCCAGTCACAGGCAACTATCCCCATTGTTACGATGCCAACAACGAATGGACTAAGGGTATGCCTCGCGCGGCAGTGCGTATAAAATATGATCCTCAAGTGGTTGGGGCATTTGCTCCGGCTGGTTACCAAGGTAGAGAAAAGGGCGCACATTATCTAACCCAGGGGCCCGTGGATACACCGGGGCGAGAGATTCCGAACCCGGTCTGGCAGATAGCACACGAGCTGGGTCATGTGTTTGGCCTTCTTCACGAGCACCAACGACCGGATCGAGATATTTACGTTCAGTTCAGGCCTCAGCAACTCAACGGATTCGCACGAGCTTGGCAGGCTGCTCAAGCCAACCACGTCACCTTTCAGCAACTGACGGAAGTGGATGGTGTCGGTGAACGATTCGGATGGGACTTAATCCGCTCATTTACAAGGACTGCAGCCGCTCCAGATTACCATTCAACCTACGATTACGCTTCCATCATGCACTACGATTCGATAGCGGGAATGCAGACGATCAATCATCAGGCTCCATATTCAGCAACAGATCCTAACTCGTACCCATTGGCTCAAATAGGCATGGCAAATGCTCAAGGCGTAGCACCGCTCTTCCTTTTGCCCTTAAAGGGTCATGTACCTGGGCTAGCATACCATATTTCCCAAGGCGACGCTGCGGCAATCCGGTTTATGTATCCTCACTATTGATAGTGTCGGGTTGGCGGACGTTAAAATTTAGAGGCTCAGGAGTAGTTTCACTGCAACCCTGGTCGTCACGTTGCTGAACGAGGGCTTGCAGAGATGAATCAGTGTCAACAATATTTACCTATGATACCTGCACTCGCTACTCAGTGAACGTGAAGTTTACATTAGAGCGTGTCTTTCACTAGCCGTTGCCCCACTTTCGCTTGCCACAGTATTAACTACGACTATCACTGCTGTACTCGACACTCTCTAGCAGTCACCTCGGCACCGCACGCAACCACTTCCAAGGTCAGCTCTACATCTGAACATGCATTCACATTCTCTTCTCCTTGCCTTTCTTGGACTCGTGTGTGCGATCTCGGCGCATTTTCTCGATACCACTCTTCCTTCGCCCGAACCCATCGATATCGCTCCGCCACTGGACACCGGCGGCCATGCTGGGTATGTCATGCGGATACCTAGACCCATAAGTTATTGACATGTCCAGGTTCCCCGTCGAAGACGCTCAAGGGCTTCGTTGGCCCCGGCGTCCGGATCGAAAGGTCTTAATTCACTGGTGCTTCAAAGACGCAGTCGCCGAGAACAATATCGGTAAAACAATCGAGAACGCTTGGGCGACTTGGGCACGCGGACTTGGACCTGCGGGAGCAGCGAACGGCCACAACCTCCATTTCCAACGCTGGAAATCACCCAAAGAGCTTTCCTATCCGTACTGCTTCATGTTACCGAACGTATGGGACCCACAGATACCGGAGGCAGCTGTGCAAGTGCACTGGATGGAAAATAGTCCCACGGTTGGCGCTGCGTCCGCTTCGACTGGCTACATAGCTAACGGCCCTGCCGGTCGACATAACCTTATGATATCGGGACAAGCGACAGACCAGGAAAAGGACTTCGCTGCAACACATGAGATGGGTCACGTTTTTGGCCTCCGCCACGAGCACGAGCGCTCCGACCGAGATCAGTACATCATCTACAATTGCAGAAACGTCTATGGGTTCGCCGAAGCATTGGGAGCATGTATGGCCGATGACAACACTTGCACAGAAGTCATGCTCTGCAATGATCGTGCTCTTGCACTGAAATACAATTTCGGCGGCTCCGAATTCATCAGCTATAACATAGCTCCAGAAATACCCTCGGCATACGACTATGACTCTATCATGCATTACGACAGTACTCGAGGTTCAAATGACGCCATATATGGAGCGGACGCAACAAACCCCTCGTTGTATCCGATGTACACAGTGGATGCGACGGGCGCGACCAAATTCCTAAAACTCAGAGGCCACCACCCGTTCCCACTATTCATGGTATCCGCCGGGGACGTCTCGATGATACGTGCTATGTATCCGTTCTAGAAGGTGTCCGCGGCTGCTAGAGCGGTGGATATGGCCTTATTCATCGTCGGTGGCGAAAAGATGGCCTGGACTATCAGTTGAGGCAGCCAGTAGATAGACATGATGATTCTTGATCGCAGTATCACACACGGACCTGGCCGCATCAAATACTCCAAGCGCTTCATCCTCCTCAGTCATCAGTCGTAGCTACCCTCCGCCCCTCGCAAACTCCTCCGTAAACCTCCTAGCCTGCTCATCAAAAACATCTCGTCTCTCCACATACTCCTTGCCCATACTCGGATAATACGCATCCTCCGCATCCGGACTATCCAGGAACGATCGCAAGCTCAATAGTATTGATGAAATCGTCAACACAGAACACCACTCTTCGCGCAAGATGTTGATACATATGTATCCGTTGTCGCTATCAATGTTCGGGTGATATACTCTCGTTGTGAAGGTCACGGTGGGTGGGCGGAGCGGATACGTCTCTGGGAATTCCATCGTGAGGTGGAAGGTGCCGGACTCGTAGGGCGATTCTGGGGGGCCGCGGATTGTGGCGCGCCATGAGAAGAGGTTCGAAGGGTCGATTGGACTGGCGGTACAGCCTGGTACGGGGTCGTCGCGCAGATATTGGTATTCCTTTTGGATGCGTCTCTTTGAATGTGGATGTGCGGGCATCTTGGAATGCGGAGTGACCGCTTTGGTTGCGAAGACTTGGTTAGACATCTGTGCGTTGTTGGAGAAAGGATGTTGATGAAGTGTGGCGGGTGGATGCGCTGTCGTGACTGATTTAGGCAGCAGCCAAATGCTCCATCACCTGCGCAGTCAGTTCTGTGGCTTCGTCTGTCGGCTTTGCTGTGGACGTAGGTACTTTCCGGCTTATTCCCGCCACTCAGACATTATCAAAACGTCTGAACAGGTGGTCGAATCTCTATGACTGACATTTCCGACGTATACTTGGAGGGAAAGGAGTAGCGACCAATTCGCAGTCAGCTCACCTAGGTAAGACGTGCGCTGAATCACGTATTGGCGACTACATATCTGGAACAGAACTTTGAAGTGTCAAGCAATGATGTCTTTGCACATGCCAAAGCTATTCGAACAATCCTCTGAGCTCGCGTTGCGTGCCTTGCGGTCTGCTCAGGCGTCCTGCGCGCCTGGATGTAGGAGCGCTCGGCCACCAAGCTCGTCGCAGTTTCTGATGACGCGTTAGAGGTAGTAGGATGGATCTGCGACCTGCTCGTCTTGAGCGCTGCTTCCACGTGCGACACGGTATTGCATTCTCGGCGTGTTGTTCTTTCTCCGACAGAGCCTCTCGTCGTCGGGTAAACTTTGGAAGTGATGGGTGCCTCGGATGTTGAGCTAACAGTCCGCTGACGTCATCCTCAACCTTCTTTGACCTTTCCATCTCTCCCAAACTCCATTAGCTGGGCTACATGGAACCGGCAGATCCAAAATCTTTGGCTCTCGAGATGAAGCTCATAGGTGTGCATTCAGCAAGTCTCTGCTCTCCCCACGTCAACGAAATACATGAGAACATACGCGTAGATTCGGAATGTCGCCAAAGTCTGGCAGAAGAGGTACCATCACATGTTACGCATATCGTTTCAGACACTCATCAAATCGAAGAAAATCTTTTTTGGATTTGTAGGCAGCCACCTAGTCGAGTTTGAATATACTGGGAGAAGACAGGGAAAGGGCTTCATATACCCACAGCTTAGTGCAGAAGAGTGATCCCATGTTAATCAGATATGTCTCTTTTTTGAAGTATTCGACCGGATAAAGCGACGAGTTCATGAATTTGCTATCGACCGCTTTTGTTTCCACAGCCGCACTTCCGAGAAAACATAGTCAGTACACGTTAGACTTTTGGAATAAATATAGTAGGGTTGGGCCTTTTTTTGAATTCCCAGTGCTTCACAATGGGAGAAGATGGGAGACTCCCAGGTCCGGGAAGAAGGGTTTATATATCAACGCTAGCGGTGTACACGGCGGGCGTATTCATTCGTCGTATTGTACTACGATCGAGTAGAGCAACAAAAAGACCGTTGTAGCAGACATGTAGCGATCAGCTGCACCTCTCAGCAGGCTCGGAGACATGTGTTTATCTAATCAAACTTTCTCGTTTCCCACATGCAATCACTTGCTCGATTTTGAACACCCTCTTCACAAAAACGATATGCAGCGTGGGGAGATCCCAAATTTACTCATTTCAGTCGCCGCGACGTTCTTCTTGTTGTTCGAAGAAGGCCCGCGATGGCAGCGTCATGAACACAGTCAACTCGCTGCTGTTTCATGCACACGTAACAAATCCATTCCGTCCAGGCAGAGAATTGATAGAGTCTCATACCTCCAGCCTCTCATACCAGAGAACATCATCGATTTTGGGGAGCTCGGAGAAAGGAGAACATCATATAGCAAGTTGAAGTTTTGAGAGATCGGACCAAGCCATGATTGAAGTCGGACATGATTTTTGGAAGTGCTGCACAGAACATCGGCCAAACAGAACTTGGTTTTGAGAGACGCAAGTCCGACGAAACATCACACATGATCTTGGGAATTTTTAGAGATCCTGTACAGGAAAGAGGTGATGAGGAGAGAAGACTCTGGCAGCGAGAGAAGGTGTTTATATAGCCGCAACAGGCTGCCCATCTCCAAATCCAAAAACACATGTTTTAGTCCTATAATATGACTTGAGCAGTTCGAGAAATCCACACAACGCGTTTCGATGGGCCGAACGTGTACCCAGGACTGTATATCACATGTACATACGTGTAGTCCTTTTGATCGAAGAAGAGGTTGAATACGACTAGGGCGCCAATGTAAGCCAGCAACGCCATTCTTCTCTTCTTGCCCTACTTCGTTTTGGTAGCTCAAAGACATGTATTTTCTTGTGCTTTCTTTTGCTCACAGCAAGGCGACACACATTTGCTCAGCCATCGTTGTTTTTGGACAGGACAACACGGCACATGCCATTTCTTTCGATGGATTTTGGTGGAAATTTTGGAGTCGGGCGTGCACTCAGCACATAAACACAGTGTCGGTGACATTTGGTAGAAGTTTGAATTTCTGTGGTGATGACAGGAAGTGCCGAGACGGGGACTTGCCCTCGTCATGTAGTGACTCTTTTGAACAAGCGCTCATGGCGGAAGTTTGATTCTGTTTTGGAAAGACCAGAAACAGGACATGGACGGTGGACCGTTCATTTTTCGACAAAAGAAAAGGTAAAGTTGATGAAGCAGTGATGAAGCGGAGCTGGAGGGAGCTTTTATATAGATGTCAGCAATCTGGAATTGCACGTGATGTCGAAAATCGGGAGAGACTTGTGAGGACGTGTCGAAAATTCACAAGTATACATCTCATGCTATGTGAAGCGTACAGTAGTAGAGGTTTATTTCAGTACATCTAGGGTAGCGCGATTGCGTGAGAAGGTGCTATAGGAATATTGATACGTCAAGACCTGCAACCCGAGCTCGAGTCCCAGGCACGCTTCTAGGAAACTGGAGCCTCCTGTTTTCGACAATTAGCTGGGCATTAACGCAGAACTGGGAGTTTACTTACCGCTTTCAACACCTCAAAGACATTGTCGGTCTCCAGAACCACAGGCTTCGGCTGCACGCCATCCGCCCACTTCCTCTCCCACTCAACAGCACCTTGAGTACCATTCACGCCATTCACAGGCCCGCCATCGCCCTTGTGCGACGATACACCACCATGTGCGTGCCCAGCACCGCCATTAGAGCCGTTCGCAGCATTTCCACCACCCAGCCTCCTTCGGTCACTGCTGCTCTCCGAAGATGTCTGATCGCTTTGTAGATATCCCGATCTACCGCCTGTTAACTTGTACAACTTATCGCCAACGGGAGTGCCACGCTGAAGCTCCTCACCCTCATTGAACCTGCGTAGGATGATGTAGCCCACGAAGCCCCAGATGAAGATGAAGGTTGCTGAACAGCTGGCGATGATGACGGTGGGGACGACGAAGAGGAGCGCGAAGCCGACGAGGAAGAAGGTGATGGCGATTGAGACGAGGAGGCCGAGGAAGAGGCAGGTTGATAGGGAGACGAGGAGGGTGGTTGTTGCGAAGGCGAGGAAGAGGGCGAGAGGAAGACCAGTCAATGCGGTTTGGGTCGTCAGGAAGGCCTGTATCGTGTCATTGATAGGAATCGTCAGATGCTATCGAACAACTTACGGCTACTTTGGGGTTCTGATGGGCGTAGTCTCGGGCTCTCTCAAGCATATGCTCGCGCTGCTTGGGTGGCAGGACCTGGTTGGTGGTGGTCTCGATCTGGTCACCAACTCTTCGCGTGGTGTAGTGGATCTTGTTCCCGAGGTTGTCGACCATGTCGCCAGCTGTCTGGAGGACGGTGGGCATGGTGAGGTTGGTGAGATAGGTGCGCTTGGTAGCAGTACAGTGGTTAATGAATCAATGGATGGTGATAATGGGTGATGAAAGACGGAGGGCGGAGATAGAGTTAAATTGTTTACTGTCTCAGGGCGACTGCTTGACTAGATACAAGGGATTCAATAGAGGGAAGCTCCGTGTGTGCCGTGGCCGCACTTGCGATGCGGATGCGGAAGTCTGGAACGCGTCCGTCGCGTGGACGTCATCGCGGATGCGCTAGGACAGTTCGGTGTTAGCGCTGCTGATACCCCTGTCGCTCGGCTATGGCTGCTAGCTGACCGCCCAAAGTTCTGCCAATTCGCGATCGAACTTTTTGACACAACGCGACCCATGCTGCCATATCGGAACCGCAACGCCGACATGAGTGAAAAGAAGAGAAAGAGACAAGAGCAGAATGGCCAACGGCCGAAGAAGAAGACGGCCGTTGCGCCGACGGGAAATGTCCGCGTCAAGATGGTAGAGAATAAAGAGACTCTGGGTCCGCTTCTAGGTATGATAGCACTTCTCGAGGCTGTCGCATGGCGTCAAAACCCATCGCAAATGACGGAAAACCTCAAAATACCCTGCGGACTTTTCTTCTAACGCGCTCAAGCTGTCACACCCGGTCTCAGCATCCCATCGAAGATATCCTTCAACCCGTACAAGCGCACCAAGATCCGACCACAAGGCGAGGAAACCGAAATGCTGTTCCAATCATCCGGCCACCCTCGTTTAGATTACATCGCACAGGAAGAGCATGATGGAAGCGCCGAGAGCCAGCTACAAGACTACATCGGCGTATTCGACCCTGCGACAAGCAAGCTACAGATCGTCCCAGTCAAGAGAGTTGTCGTACGAAGCACACTGCGAAGCGAAGCACAAGAAATGCGCGAGGAGCAGGAGGCGTTGGATGCGGCACAAAACACTGTCATGGCAAAGAGAGCTGCTCTCGCAGCAGAGTTCGGATCTAAGAAGTCGAGGAAGGCACTTGAAGACCGGACGCTCAACGCCATCAAGAGCGGAACTGGTGCCGAGGACGCAGCGAGAACCGATGCAGTTGCCGAGAACGTGCTGCAGCAAATGTCCTCTGCGACAGCGGTCATGCCGAACAAGGACGATCTCGCAGCAGCCGTGGACAGCTCCAAGCCTCGACCGACACCCAACCTTGCAGCCGAATACCCAGCCGATGTTTACCCTACGGATGTTGTGATTGGAAGCGATCTCATGACCATGCTCGATGTCCAGGACTGGGTTCAAAAATCATCAGTCGGCGAGGGTGTCAGCGTGGCCAGTAAATACGTTGCTAAGCGCATCGTAAAGCTTGCCAAGAACAAACAGATACAGAAGTTGAAGGCCCTGCGATTCATACTGCTTTGCATCAACTTCAACTCCGCATTGATCGGAGGAGGTGGACCTCGGCCGAAGAAGATCCCCATGAAGGGAAAATTGGAGGAAGCGATGGGTGAGGACACGCCTGCGGGTCAACTCATGGCCATCAGGAGGAAGTTTGCCCCCGAGGGGTAAGTTTATCAACGACTGTTTCATGAAGACTGGCTAACCTGTGCAGTTCCTTTGAGATGTCTCGCTGGCACGTCGATAACCTCATGACACATATCGCGGCGGCAGCACTCACAGTGGACGATTACGAAGTCGACGTGAACGACCTGCGAGAAGATCTGAAGCTCGAGAACAAGGAGTACGTCCCCCAAGAACCACTCGACCTGACCTATGCTAACACCACACAGGATCAAGCAATACTTCGCCGAACTCGGATGCAAGCTCAACGCCCCAACCCAAACCGACCTCACACGCATGAAGCTCACCAAAGCCGAAACCGCCAACCACTTCATCGCGAAGCTGAAACTCCCACTGTCATTCCCCAAAGTAGGCGGCGCACGAGCAAAGAGACGCACCTAGCCATGACGCGCATGTAATTACCGCCTAGATCCATACAGTAGTCCTCGGCACCAACCAGCAACGATACCAGCAAGCCATATGAAATCACATTCCACCTCCCCAAACCCATTACGTCCATGTCCAACCGTGCGGGTACCTTTCCATGTAGATCACGCGTGGAGGTACATGACAGCTGCATAACGCCATAGTCGGCCCAAGTAGCAAATCACAACCACGATCACCAGATGCGCAACCCCACTTCTTAGCAATGCGAGAAGGACATAATCGAGATCCACGGAAGCTACTCACTAGATACATCATCGACTTTATCCGAATGCGTGTTTCTGCAATTGCGCTCCCACCACTTCCATATCATCATGACATCACCATCGTCACCATCGTCACTTGTCCTCACTTACCCTTTCGTGACGTACTTTCCATGCATAACCACCACCACCATTCATATAAGAAACCCTACCCTTTTCCATAAGTGATTTCTCATCAATTTGACTCTTCATATCAACTAAATGCCCAAATCCACCGGTCCCCTCCAAGAACAACTCGGCCTCGGCACAGCGAACCAATCCACACCCAACATGTCCGGAAACATGACCGACAACACCACCGCCGCAGCTGACAAGCTCGGCGCAAACAAGGGCACGAATGCTATCCCCCAGTCAAACCCCAGTGTGATAAGCAGTGCGGGTGCTATTGGCAAGAACTGTATGTTGCTCTCTACCATCTTCACACAACTTGTAAAGAAAGACATTTGGCTAACACAAGATCTTGTAGTCAACCCCGACGGCGCAATCGGCCAAATCGGCGAGAAAGTCGGTGGCCCATTCAGCAAGGACGGCGTGATTGGAAGCCAGTTCGATGCGAGCAAGAATGGGATCGCAGGGCATGTCGAGAGGGCTGTTGATGGACCGAGCAATCCTGCTGGGAGCTCAAAGTAAATGAATCTCATGACATGTAGAGGAAGAGGAATTGTATTATAGCCAAGAGGCATTGGACGAAATGAATTGAATAATGTCATGTTGATCATGTCACCACGTGTTTCCTCCCAGTCCAGGTGATTTGGAACTGTTTGAGCGAATCGTTGGAGATTAACACTGATCGCACGGCAGTACCTCGCGTAGCAGGAACAAATTGTGAACGTGTTTAAACCTCGTCCATCTAGACAATGCAGATAAGGGCTAAAGCTTCTTTCCCGCCGATCCAGCTATTCCCTGATTCGCTAAGTTAGTTTGCAGCATCGTTGCAGATTTCCAAACCAAGTCAGCGAATCAAGAAATAGCTGGATCGGCAGGAAGAACTTGTGAAGGTGTGTAGACCTCGTCTATCAAGACAGTGCAATCAAGTGCCAAAGCTCCAAGACCCACAATACCCAGCCTCAATGTGCAAACGCACGCGACATTCTCAGCCGCATACGTCTATTCCCCCAATCTCCTCCCTGGACCCATTCCACCCCAAGCATTGCCTGTCGCCCTCGCCGCACTAGGCTGCGCAGCACCTCCCCGTCCCTGCACAACATGCCCATATCCTCTGTTCTGCACGCTGCCCGGCGCAGCACCGAACCAGCGCTTCACCATCTCAGGTGTGCGAATGTAGTTTTTGCCACCGCCAAACGTAGGCCAGATCCTTGTCAGAAAGTCGTACAAGTGTGCGGCGAGGAGACCCATAAGCTGTCCGAGTGCGGCATCAGGACCGTCCATGACAAAGGCCATGAAGAGCATAGCGAAGGGCAGGTATTTGCTTTCGAAGGTGATGACGAAGAAGGATACGGAGCGGGTAGGATTATCTTGGGCGAACGTGTATGCGTAGGCGAGGGACAGCGACGGGAGAAAGGTGTATTGGTTTAGGATGCCACCTGCTGTTGCCTTTGCGCGGACTGTTAGCACAAGTCCATCCACAGCACACTGATATCAAGACGAGAAGATGCAGGTGAACAAAGCGAAACGAATCGCGAAAGTATGTAGGGAGCCAACACCGCCTTGCGAAATGGAGAGCATTCGCAAAGCTTTCTCAAGTGACAATCCCACCATGCCTACACACCACACAAGTCCCTTTATATGATTGCGAATGACGGAACCGCATGATGTGCAAGGGTGTTCTTCCTCCGTTCCAGGAACCGCTTCAGCTAGGAATAACAGGCTGGGCGGGCAGATATGCGGAGGTGATTTTGACCGAAGTCGAGACGTCGCAGACAGTTGTGTCGATGCGATGGAAGCTATGTACGCGTGTGTGCAGTGGGTACTTACGACAATGACGCTACCGAGGAACAAAGTGTACACGAAGAAGTCGCCTGGATCCTTGAAGCGAGGCGACTCCCGCTCGATGGAGCTGCCGTACTGGTATAGAAAGTAGGGGTCTAGCAGGATGCCGAACTTCGGTTTCGTAATCAGAAACGCTGTGAAGAGTCGCCAGAGCTGCGGGAGCATCGACACCGTGAAGACATATTGGCTAACGAAGATGTAGTGATAGAGGCTGAGAAGTCCGCTGTAGCCTGCAGCCGATACAACGACTGCTGCAGCTGTGATAGTCCTGTGAGGGATTGTTAGCGATTGTGCGACGTGTTGTTTGCGCGTAGCTGGGAATGAGGTGAGAGCTACGAGCTGAGCTACTTGGAGGAGAGAAGCTTACCTAGAGACGGGCGGGAGCGTCCAAAAGACATCCATCGTTACTCAAAGCTATCGCCGTGTATACGTGAAGTCGTGAAGTCGTGAGGTGTCGTGAACGAGGACCAGCTGGTGCTGCCTGGAGAAAGAGGAGCAAGCGAATTCGCAAGGTGGCTTAAAACCTTGGAAGGCCGCGGCGCGGGTGGGGGCGCTATACCCTTTCGCGCTCCATCACGTCATTGGCTGCCAGAGGTCTGGCTGCAGGAACACCACACCTTCTAGAAGTGCAGCGATGATGTCTTTTCATTATTACTTTACAAGACCAAGTCAGCAATGCAATCTCGCAGTAGATAATTCCAGATCTCTATCACGACGAAGTGCAGCAATCCGCTGGTCATAACACGCCTGACATGACTTGGAATCAATAGCTTCCCACAGCACACCCTTTACAGCTACGAGACGGGCCTGCTTCTGCTGCTCACATTTGCTACACACGAACTCTGTTAATTGCTCAAAGCGGAGCAGTGTCCATCCCTTGCTAAGTGCATACTGATGCGTGATTTTGCCTGAGAGACCCCACGTACCCGCTGTACGTAGGGTTGGAGGGTCGGAGTAGTTGTCTAGTACAGCTAGTTTCTGGAACTCAGTTGTCATTCTGGGAGTTGTGTAGGTAGAGTTGGGGTGTTGAGTGTGACAAAGAGACAGATGGAGAAGAATGATTCATATAGCGAGAAGCAGTAATACTTGTTTGCCATGCTCACCCGCACAAACACCAAACCTTCATTCTTGCAGATTCGCCAATCATCCCGCACCTCAATTCCCCTTCCCGTTCGGTCCATGCACATCACTCTCAGCCCCCACCCCCGGCGTTCCCCTCTCCTCATAAGAATCCTCGTACCTTCTCCAGATCTCCATATCCCTAGCAACCCGCTTGTGGTGTCGGACGCGGTGTTGGTAGTTGATCATGCGCTTGTCGGCTTCCAGGTACCCGCCGAGTATCATGCCTGACATTTGTATGTACCTGCGTTGGGTTAGTGGGGTGATTGATGAGAGGGTGTTTGGGGAGGGCGGGGATGGAATGGGATAGGAAGAAAGAGGGAAGGAAGCGACGGAATAAACATACGTCTTGAACTGAACAGTAAGACCCTTGTATACAGGCGAAAAAGCGTATGCAACACCGCCTGCCACGGCGAAGAAAGCACCCCACTGTGTTTTGAAGTCAGCCGCCATACTATCAAATCCCAATCCATTTCTGTAAACCCAATTCCATTCCTTCTCTTTCGCATGTTGCACGCACACCCCCGAGATCCTCATACCCTGGCGCGCCAATTGACCAAAAGACATGAACCAGTATAAGTGATCCTCCAGGACACGCGACACTACATCCATCTCTTATGACCCCAAATCTTTTCAGACCAACCCCCATAACACGCAAACTTCCAAGAAATACCACCCCGACAACGCGTAAAAGAGAAAAAGAAGCATACCTTCGTTCCCCCAACCAACGCTCCCTTAGCCGCCTCCCAAGCCGCCTGATTCGTCTCGTCGTCCTTTGTCAAACTACCATGTTGTCTCACCATGATTACGTGCGCACGTGAGGAACAGTGCTTAAACAGTCATCTGAGAATATGGCGTAGACAGGCCAGCTGTTGGGTGGCAAACGCAGTGATCTAGAATAATCGCGAGCGTGGTCGTTCCAATTGACTTGGATGGATCTGTAGAATTGGGAAAGGTTCCGGGGTCGTGACGGAAAGAAGCCCTGGAGAGGTGATGTCAGCCTACATTTTCGGCTGAAGCTCGGACGGTTGAGCTTGTTTGGTGGGGTGCATGTGGGGTACTGCAGATGTACATTTGAGCCCACGATCGGACGAACGCCTGTTCACAGCAACCATCGTTAAAAAGGAACTGCCGAAACAGGAATGAATATTGGCAAAGAATACAACTCTTTCACTTATTCAAATACATCTATGGTATAATATCCCAGATTTCGATATCCAAACCCAGCTCACTCCGATATGCATATCCCAATCGTATTGTTGCATGCTATGACGAAAGAAGTCGAAGAGAAACATAAAGAAGGAAGACAAAACGCCGAATGAGCCCCCTAGTATCTCTCGCAAGAGGGCCGGTATGCGAAACAAACTTCTATATGTACATGGGCGGCGATCGTAATCGAAGGTGGTGAGCGTAGGCGAGTATGGAACGAACCTATGTCGGTACCATCTCATCACCTCGTCGGAAACGGAAAAGCCCTCCTATTCTCCCCAAAGCTCATCTCAAGCTCCTTCTCCAAAGGCGTAACATCATAATCCACAACCTCGCTCCTCGGCGTCCCTATCCCACTCCCCGGTGTATGCAGCTCCGGAAGATAAAACTCGGGGGTATAAACACCCAGCTGGGTCACATCCTTCTCACCACTGGGCTTCGACTTCGGGCTATACATATCCATTCCCATTCCTAGCTGGACGTCTTTTTCCCGTGTTGGAGTGCTTTCAATAGTGACTTTTTCGAGTATCTTGCCGAGAGAACTTGCGGTGTCGGGGCGCTCAAAGTCTTCTTCGTCGACGTCCATGGCGGTGGGGATGCCGTGGGCGAGGTTGTGGTTGCGTTGGAGGTATTGTTGGAGTCTGTATTCTTGGCGAGCCCAACTCTCATCTACAAGGCCGAGCGCAGCCTTAATATCCTGATCGGAAAGGCCCATGGGGTAGTTTGGTTCTTTGGAGGACTTGCCGCTGACGACGCGGTTGGTGAGGCGGCTGCGGACCGAGCTGGATTTTGAGGACGTGGGGAGGGAGACGTCGTCGCGCATGGATTTTACTTGGTCTTCGGTTTGCTTGAGGGCCATTTGTCGCGATTCTTGCATCGTGGGGAGGAAGAGGAGGGTGGTGTTGCGGTGGAGGGCGTTGACGAGGTCGGTGAAGCCGGTTAGGGCTATGCCGTTGTCTTCGCAGTAGAGGTATTGGAGGGTCGTGTTTACTTTGAGGACGTCGGCGAGGGTGCTGGCGCCTTGGACGCCGAGTTTCTGGTCTGGTACTGTCAGTCGTTTGTCACTAAGTATGGAGGTGTGTCAACTCACATCTGATGTACAAGGCGCGCAGGGTTCGGTTGCGCTGCAAACCCCGTAGTGCTCGGTTGATGCCAACACCTAACTTGGTTGTCTCCAGCCGGGAGTCTTCTCCGGAGATGTCAAGCCACTCAAGACTGGTGTTATCGGCAAACATCTTCTCCATCGCTTGACAAGTCTCTTCCGAGGCATCGCATGGTAACGATGCTCGTGAGATATCAAGCTGTCGGATGGTGTTATTGGCGGCTAACGCAAGTATCATCTTGCGGAAGTCGGCGTCCTCTTCGAACTCTAGAAGGCGGAGGGTGAAGTTGGATGGGGCGAGACCTTTCGAGATCGCCCTGGTCAACTTATCCAGGTCTTCTTCGATGTTGTTCTCACTGACATCCAAATGTAACTCGCGAGCTTTTCCAGGATGCTCGGTCATTGAGTGCAAAAGGTAAGCAATGTCACTTCCAGTCAAAAAGCAATGATCCAATCGTAGTTCACGGAGAGCTGACGATTGCTTGTAGTTGACAAGGTAACTACGCGGTGGTTAGCAGGGGTGGCGACATATGGAGTGTGTGGATGACGAACCCAGCTATTGCGTCGACCATGGCGGAGTTGAGCGAGGTGCCACTCAGAATCAACTCCTGTAATCTCCAGCCAGCAAAGGTTTCGACCGATATTAGCGACTCCAGACCCGAGGAGCGTGCAACATGCGACAGGTTGAGTCGCGTGAGGTATCCAAAAACGCCAATCTGAGAGTCGAACATGCTCGGTGATAATCTGAACGGGTTCGACGACAGATCCAAAGCTTCGAGGGTGGTTTCCTGCGCGCGGATCGCATCCAGTACAAGAGAGAGCGAGCGGTCCGTAAGACCACACCCACTCAACTCAAGTCCGCGGAAATGGCAAGCTCGCTCGACACCTGCTGCGACGAGGTAATCCAAATCAGTATCTCCAAGTTGTATTTTGTTCAATGCTATCCAATCAACATTGGTGGTCTGGTACTTGCATAGCGGAAACAGGGCTTCCACAATGCCGCAACCTTGATCTCTCGCACTGCCTCTAGATTCCCCGTGGTCTCTAGGTTTTCTCGATATGCATGAGGTAAAGTCCATTCTACGCAGCTTTCGGTTCGTCAAGGCCAGAGCGCGGATCTCTTGCACTAGTAAACAAGAGCGTTCCAGCTCTTCGATATCTAGCCGTGCATATGTACCGCGTTTTGTCTTGAGGCAAAGGTGCTCAGCGCCGTTCGGATCTTTCAGTCCATTCAAGACATCCAGTTTTACGTCTTTGAACGAAATACCGCCAAAGGTCTCGTTGTAGCGCAGAGCACGCATGACGGCGAGTAGCTCGAGGGTATTATACTGGGTTCTGCGTAATCCGACAGGTGGTAGGAGCTCAAAGCGCGGTGCGTCCTCGGCAGGGTAGGTAATCTGATAGCTGATGTTCTCTGGCTGTACATCGTAAGCAACACAATATCCAATCAAGGTTCTATCCAAAGAATCTTGGTCCATCGGATGTGGGCTTTCTTGTCGCGCAACGTCATGATACACTTCGTCTGGAACAAGGAAGTCAAAAGGTCGCGTCTCCCACTCAGGTCTGAGACTAGCTTCTATGGATCGCAGACGGACAGCAATATCCCGCGAAGCTAATGACGCCAGATGGAGAACTTTGGGACGTTCAAGCGGCTTTCTGTGTGCTGTTAGCGGTATTCTTATAGCGCAGGAGGAATACCCACCGGAAGGTTAACTGGAACGTATCGTCAATCTCGGTCACGCATACTTCAGTCAGCGTTAGGATACCATGCGACGACTGGGTGCTATGAGCAGCCAGTGATGGACTGGAAGACCGTTGTGAGGATGGTTTGAACAACGGGATAATGTGTACTTTGTGCACACCAATAGCAAGGAAACATACTGAAGCAGAAACTTTGGCAAGATCATCAGTTGAGGCTCGCGTCGTTGTCTTTCCTTGCGGTCGGAGAACGACTTTGTATATGGCGTAATGTGGAGGTACATAGTCGCGTTCTGCTTCAACGACACGCGCAGCCAGATGGGAGTTGTGTGCGGAGATGGGCTTCGCGTCAGACAGCCGTGCCCTGTTCGCTGCTTCTCTTATGGCCTTGAGCCATGAAAACATCTCTTCTGGGTCCCCGAATTGCAGAGTCATGGATGAGGCGTTGTTCGTCTCGTCGTCCAAATAATAGAGTTCCAACGCAAAGTGCGGCCGACCGTCGTCGAGATGGTATACGGCAACGATATGGCGTAGAGGTATGCCTTGGTGGCGGTCTCCAGACGATTCCGAAGCCATAGACTGAAGCTCGTGGGACGATCCGGTCGAGGGGCTGTGGCTGTGGCGGTAGTAGCTCATGCGGTTGTTCGGCGAAGGTATCCTGCACTTGTTAGTCTTGGTATGGGCCACTGTCGACACTGGAACGTACCCAGGAAATGCTTCGATCGCTTTCGCGTGATTCTTGAACCGGATGAGATGCTTCTCGGTCAGGACCAGGTATTCCCTCTTCTTCCTGAACATGGAGCTGCTCGTCTGGACCTCGCCATGCTGTAGCACCTGGCGATCGTGCACATCTTCCCATATGTATTCTCCAAAGCCAGTTGATGTTCGTGTTGATGTTGCCGAGAGAGGCTCGGGGTCGTCGTCGGCAGAGAGTTTGTAGCCGCGGAAGGAGCTGAAGACAGAGCTGGCGCGCTTGAGGCTGTTCTTCGAAAGACTTGGCCGCTGCCCATCTATCGTTTCCCTGACGTGACTGCTCCCCGCTACCGTGCTGCCGTTGGAGGATGGGGTCTCGGTGTACTGCGACACATCGGACAGGTTGGACATGAAGGACGCCGTGCGCCGCTTGCGCAGCAGATTCGAGGGCTGCGATTCATCTTTGTTGCTTTGCGACGCGAAGGCATTCAGAGAGCCGCGACCAAAGATGCTCCGTCGTTTGTCTTTGGACATTCCGAGATTCCTGATCGGCGCGCGCAGCCCAGCACGAGCTCGGCGACACAACTATCGCATTCAGAGGGGCTCCTGGGGGAAGGAGGCAATTGTCGCGTCGGAAGATGAGTTCGGAAGAGCTGCGGTGGAAATTGGGGCAGAATAGCAGGGTTGGGCACAGAAAGGCGGTAGGGCCAATCACGGTGAGGGCGCAACGCGAGACAATGCGGAGGTCAACGGCGGAGCAATTAGGTGCAGCAGCAGATGCAGCAGGTGCAGAAGGCGGGCTCGGCTTGGGGCGGGAGGGGGTTGGCAGGCGTGCTGTAATCACGACGTCTCATAATTCCGTGGCATGAGGACTGAAGACGTGATTTCGCCGGCCGTCTGCAGTCTTCCAAGGTTCTATGGTGCCAGGTCTACCAGTGCGTAGAGGCGACGGGCTGCTACACACCGGCCCGACAATCACACGGCGTTTGCAGGGAAATGACAGGACAAGATGTACGCAGCGCAGTACGGGCGAGATACGACGAGTAGGGGTGGATTCAGGGTGGGTCTCTGGTATCTCGTCGCTTTCCACGCGTCCACTCCCGGGCGTGTGCTGGTCGCTCGCACGTGTACGTCACATGGTGATCGCAATGATCGCCCGGCGTTAACAAACGCCGACATATTTTCTGTGCAGTCGCGACCGAGCGTCACTTCCATCGTGTGTGAAACGCCACCCGCACGCCCACGCCGCCTCGCCCCTCCCAATGCTGCGTCGCCAGCTGTCGCCAGCCGCGCAATGGCACCGGACGCCCGTCTGCCTCTTCTGCGCTGCCCGCAGCCAGACCCGACTGAAGAACACCCGAGCCGCCCCATCCAAATCCAAGCCAGTCGCTCCCAGAAAAGTCTCCGTTAGGAAGAAGGGAAAGAGCTCCGATAGCCAAGAGGAAACTGTCAAGGCGGAGGATGGATCAAAATCTCTCATCGAGGCCCTTCTGGGTGACAAGAAGGCAAGGAGACAGAAACAGGACGAAGAACGAGAGTCGATTCCCATCAGCGAGATGTTCCCCGACGACCTCAACTTCGAGGAGATCAAGGTCGGCAAGCCACCTGTTCCCATGCTATCGTATGGTCTCGACCGCGTCCTCTTCAACCCCGGTGTATATCGCCTGCAGGACCCACGCTCGCGAGTGTACAACTTCGATCCCTATCTCGAGAAGATCATGCCGGCGAACGAGTTCGATTTTGAAGCGCTGAGCGAATACAAGACCTCCTCCAAGGATGAGACTCTGCTGGCCTTGACAAAGCAGGTTGGCACAAAGTTCACAGGTTCTACCTCGAGTATGTCGAGCATGCTCCAGCACTTTCACTACGTCCTCTCAAACTTCCGCAAACTGAACCACGGCATGCTATCCCGCCAGTTTCCTGACCCTACGCCCAGATTCTCCCGAATCACGCTTGGCCCCAGTGCCGTCTTCCTGCGATACACGGACGGTATCTATGCCTTGGACGCCGACAAGTCTTACGAAAGCCCCAACATCATGAGCTGGCTGGGTCACTCGCTAGAGAAGCTCCTCACAACCGAACGCAGCGAATTCGAAAAGTTTAGAAGGTCCAACCCAGAAAAGGCAGCCGTCGAGAAGGAGGCTGGCCGATGCTACCACTACTCGAAGCAGGGTAATCTCCTGATGCGCTCGCAGCTGGATGCAATCGATCCGCGGTTACCTGGAACGGGTGTTTTTGATTTGAAGACGCGAGCCGTCATCTCGATCCGCATGAACCACAAGGAATACGAACAGGGCGCTGGCTACCAGCTTCGTTACAATCTGGGCGAGTGGGAGTCGTTCGAGCGCGAGTTCTACGACATGACGCGTGCGACCATGCTGAAATACTCCCTCCAAGCCCGCATGGGACGCATGGACGGCATCTTCATCGCTTACCACAACATTGAGCGCATCTTCGGCTTCCAATACTTGAGTCTCTCCGACATGGATGCTGTCCTTCACGGCCAGCACGATACGGTACTAGGAGATCAAGAGTTCAAGCTGTCTTTAGGTCTCGTCGATGAAATCCTTACCAAGGCCACTGTTGAATTCCCCGAAACGGTAAGCTTTCGTTCCACTACCAGGGGTCTTCGCTAACAATTACCAGTCTATCCGGTTACACTTTGAAGCGCGCGAAGGCAAGACGCCGTTCATGTACGTGTTTGCCGAGCCCGTCACCGAGGAGCAAGCGGACGAGATACAAAACGCGGGAGAGGCCGCTCAGCAAGAGTTTGCACGACGCGTTGTTGGTATTGGAAAGGACGACCCTGAAGCTCAGGCCGCTTGGCAAGAAGCTCAAGACGACGTTGACGAACAAATCGGTGCAGACCAGGCCCCGCAGGAACCTACAGCCCGAGAAGACGAACCTTTGACTAATATTGAAGAGTCTACTGAGAACGTTGCCGAAGAGGCTGCCGAAGAAGCTGCCGAGGAGCAAGACGCGGTTGCGGAGCCTGCCGAAGGCGAAGAAGCCAGCGCAGAAGAGACCGTGCAGCCAACACCAGTCCCCAAGGGACCGTTGATGGGCTGGACGCTGACTGTCCGCAGTCAGGTCAACGGAGGCTACGTGGACCGTCCAGAACAGCTGAGCGAGTACGACGACTGGAAACTTGAGTACCATTTGAAGGAAATACCCGCGGAAACACGCTGGAAGTTGTACTCAGCGCTGAAGGCGCGAAGACACGAGCTTATCGGACAAGACGAGGAAGCGATCGATAAGAGTCTCAAGCACTACCGTGATGTCATCTCGCGCTACACCAACCGTGGACGCAAGTGGAGAGAGGAGCAAGACAAGCTCAATGACGCGAAGGGCGTGCAGGTTTTCCGGCCGCTTGGCCCCGGTTCAGACGCAAAGGTCGTGTCGTCAGACTATGAACTTACGAAGGAGACTGAAGGCTCTGACAAGACCGAGGTCTCTCAAGAGCAGGCAGCGGAGGAGCCCTACAGTGAGGAATCCAAGCCAGACGAATCACTTTCCAAGGAAAAGAAGGAGGAAGTCTTAGATGGCTTGCCCTCAGTACCATCGTAAAAGTGACGGTTAGGGATCTGGCGTTCGTCCCCTATCTGGGGTCTAGACGGTAAATGGTTACATGATTGAACGTTCTAAAACATAGATGTAAGAGTATATGTACTATCACAAGGATACGGAGGTGTCGATACCAGGGAATGAATAGATGAGAACGAGCAACGTCTTAACTAAAATTTTACACATCACTCAATGCATTATAAGACGTCCAGAAAAGCAATGCTGTGTGACGCGGGGTGGTAGACCGTCGGCTATGAAGCCTGACCCCTGCTCCGCCGGCATTAGCGACATCATCGCTCCGCTGCCCGCATGCTCCTCCGCGAAGCTCGTTCTTCTAGAAGCTCCCCGCCATGCAGCCTCACGTATGAGCGCGACTGCCCTCTCTACACCCGACCGATACACGCCTGCCTGCTACACCTGAGCGGCTTCCGTTTGCTCGCCTTGGCACCCGCGCTGCCGGTTCCACCTCACTTGCGCCGGCTTGCTCGCCGCCCGCCCGCATCAAAGATCTCAACTGCGCCAACATTGCTATCACCACGCACGCTATATCACACACCTAGCAACCATGTCGGACGCTCAAATAGAAGACAACATCGACCTCCTCTTTAATTTCGGGGTGGAACAGCTTGACAGACAGGAAGCCAGGCAGCTCCTCGCTGTATGTCCAAATAGCCCACAATCTGTTTGCGCCCTGCGACAAAGCGCTAACTACGTATATAGAATCATGGCAACAATGTCGAGGCCGCCATGGACAAGTACTTCAGCAGTATGGACCAAGGAGGTATTTCTTCTTTGAAGACCCACCTGCGCAACTCACAGGCCAAGTGGGACGAGACTGCCTTTGCGGGCGCCGGCTACGGTATAGACGACACCAACGTTCCCAGTACGTCAGCTCAGGCTTGGAAGACTCCCTAGGATAACACGGCTGACAGTGGCGGATTTCAGCATTCAATATTGACTATGGTCCAGGTCTCGACAACTACCCCCATAGCAACGTCAATAGCAGAGCACCCACGCGCCCGCCTTCTCGAACCAGTGTCGCCTCTACACAAGCACAAGCCGGCGATGCGCCCATACAAAGTCAGTGCAGCGAATGCGCCTCGAGCATCACGTCGCAAGTGCTGACAGACATTCAGGCATTGAGGGCCAGGAAATGGGAGTTACCGGCTCTTCTAACTTCAGACCGGCTACTGGAGCCAACTACGATGCCTCTCAGTGGGCTCTAGTCCCAACCACGACCGAGATTATTGCTGACCCCATCCCAAGCCAACGAAAGCGCGAAGAAGGGCAGCCCGCTATCCTGAAGCCGTCGCCAAACTTCAACTACCTTACCAATCTCATCCCTATACTCCATTCGATACCGCTGTTCCGAAATGCGCTGCTGTGCCCGGGCGTACTACAAAATGATTACTGGCAGGGCGACAATTGGTGGAAAGGCAATCCCACAGCGACCGCGCGCATCTTCGAAGACGGCACTGGACTTTCGGAAGCTTACAACCTCGAGATACTTCACGAGGCACAGCGACTCATGGCGTTTTTAGATAATACAGACCGTATTTACGGTTCGGTCAACGGACTGCTCGAGTCGGAGGCTTGGAGAGAGCAGCCACCACTTGAAGACCCGGACGATGATTTGCTCAAGTTCCTGGTGACGTGGGGTTTCGCGTTCCAGAGCCAGGTCCCGAACGCCGATTTGAACGGTCATCTCAAATCTACCGTCGATGTCGCTGGAACCACTCAGGAGAGCTTTGTGCTTGACGCCGCCGTCACACGCAATAATCTTCGGCCCGACTTCAACTTATACGATGTCCTAGATGATACACTCTTCGCTTCGGCTGGAGCCAGTGCGCATATTCGCGAAGCGAGTAACGTGCTGATACTCCGTCTGACCTCGTCGAATACCCAGGCATCTGATCTGGGATGCCGGATTCCAGCCACCCTATACATCGATCGGTACCTCGAGAAGAACAAACACGTCATCGATAGTATGTACAGCGAGATCACGCAGCATGAGGAACAACTAGTCTCGCTCAAGACGCAGGTGGAGAGACTGAAGTACCACACCCCGAAGAAAGCAGGCGCAAAGAAAGTTGAGTCGCTGCAACTGCTCAAAACCAGCATGACTGCGTTTGAGCCTGAAAGTTCTGGTGGTTCTCCCAAGGATGCAGAAGTACTGGCCCAGCTGCAGGAGCTTTACAACAGCATCGAGGGCAAGCTTGCAACCTTGGAAAAGCAGACCGAACAAGCGCAGAAGGCGATTTTCGGCATCTCTGGACGATTCAAGCCGCGCGTAGACGGTAGCGCTGACGAAGCCGCAACCATCGACGACCAAACTATGGACACTACGACCGAGATGACCGAGAAGGTGGAAGAGCAGGCCTCCGAGCCCGTTGAAATCGTCTACCCCGAAGGCCAGACCCCGGAAGATGCCATGAAACGCCCATACCAACTCTGGGGCGTAGCTACGCGTCGGGACGTAGTCTACGTGCGCCACCCAGACATCAAATCCGACATCCCCAACGCAACCCAATGGTGGCGCATGCAATACGACAGCGAATCCGCTAATCCCGTGATCCGCCGCGACCCCCTCTCCCTGCAAGAAGTCATCGAGCGCGCTACGACCGAAGCCGGCTCCGCCCTGCTCGTCTACGCGAACGAAGACGCTACTGCCGCCGAGCCCCTGCCGCTGCCCAAACCCCTTCAAGATTTCGCGAAAAAGGATAATCTCAACTTCCTCCACGAGTTACAGGAGAATGCTACGGGATGGGAAGGTTATGGCGATTACGGCAATACAGCGACAGGCGGGTGGGATGACACCAACCCCCCTGCCTTTGAAGATAATGGTTGGAGTGAGATCAGCGCTAAAGAGTTCAACAGCAGCAGCCGTCCGCGCAACGATTCAAACATGAGTTCCGCGACGCTAACACCTAATACGGAAATCGACGACGACGCGCATGTTACGCAGGAAATGGTCGAGACGAACCGTGGTGGTGCTGGGACCATGAGCAGCGCCAGTAGCGAGACGGTTGGTCGCGGCGATGACCTCATGGATATTGATGCCGGGACGAATGGGAAACTGCAGAGTCAGGTTCGGTTCTCGGATGTGGATATGGAGGATGTGGATAGTCAGGAGAGGGCGAGGGTGCAGCGTGTGGATATTTCGGAGAAAAAGGGTGGTTAGGAGACACCTGGTGAGGTACCTGATAACTGGGATGATGCGGATTGGTCGGACTATGAGGAAGACGTCGATGGTGTGGTTAATCCGAACGAGGACGAGGACGATTGCGACATCGATACATGGATGAGTCGGCCTTGAGAATGCGGATGCGGATGCATAGCACGGCGTTTTGGGATGGCGCTGTTATGTTAGCGGCATGATTGGATTCGGTGTTAAGAAGCGAGGGTGGTCATTCTTCGGGTGCTTGGTTTGGGGGGCTGTGGATTGGCTGCTTAGGATGACTGGTTGGGATGACTGGTCAGTTAGGATATCCACGTTCCATGGTTCCAGAAGCTGAGTTTTTTGCATGCGCACATGTGATGAGGCTAAGCTGGCGAGTATATAAACTGCGAAGCTCGCTCCTCTCTTGCTTTCTTGTTCATCACACTTCCACATCCCTTTTCACCAAAGTTACAGGCGAAAGAGTTGATGCTTGCTCTGCCCTCCCTCTTTTCAAAAAGATTACCGGTCGCACCCATGTCTGCGGACGACTTACAAAATCCACGTTCATGACTCCCATGGCCCTTCCTGCCTCTTGGGAAAACACACTACAGTTAAAACACATGACTTCTTCCTCTTGCCGCCGGCTCCAAAAGAAAGAATATTTTCAACCATGGCGAGTGGCTGTCTGCCGAGTTCCAGCAGTTCATCTTCGAGCACTCGTACCACTAGCGCCCACGTCGCCATCAAGGGTACAGCTCGATCTGTCGGACAAAACAACTCGGACATTTTGCATGGTTTCCTCCACCGAAAAGGACAAGAAACTCCGGCATGAGTTGAGATCCGCGGACGCGCGGGTATATAAACTACCCTCGACGTCCCGGTTTGTCTCTTCTTTAACACACACTCCGGTTCTTGTTTACCAAAATAAGTTTGCCAAAATATCATGGTCTTTGTTTCTTCCTCCGAAAGCCCAACAAGAATAATGCCATGAGAGCCCGCTCTTCCTGCCTCTTCTTCCAAGAAACACTAGAAGAACTCATATATGCGAGTGCGTCTCCAAAAATCCTCAATGGACTTTTTTATGTGCGGAGAAGACCTCTTGCTGCTGAAACAGCACCAACAACCCTCCATGGTGCCTGTCGTCCCGGCATCTGGAGTCTACTTCGCACCCTTCGGATCGAAACCGACGAGCCCATTCCGCATGTGTTCGGCAACACCTCGGAAGATACTGGGAAGAAGAAAAGTATGCGCAGACGTCGCCATGTGCTGTTCGGCTTCCTCCGCTTGTGGACGCGTTCATTCCACCACTCCCAAAGTATGGCAGCCGCAACCCAGACCACTCGAACCTCCTCCCCGTCCTCCAAGATGTCCTCTCCCAAGGACAGCAAAACATCTCTCCCAACCGTCACCAAGACTGAAGGTGTGTATGCCCATACCGCTTATCTATGGAGATACCGAAGAAGCATCAAAATGAGTTAATGTCATGCTGCTCTCCTCAAAACATTGAGAGGGAGAGTTTATGGACTTTCCGTCTGGAAAAAGGCTTTGAAACTCAACATGTGTCGGGCTCGACTGCCAGCTCAACAGTACACCCAAATCAAGAAGTCTTTCTTCCAGATCGTCATGCGCGAGTGGCCTTCTCAGCAGTACACCCAAATCAAGAAGTCTTTCTTCCAGCGCGGAGAAACCCGCTTCGACCTCGAGGACGTCTTCTTCTATCGACAACACGCAACTCCACCTATGTTTCACGGAAACAATGACAGTAGTGTATCATGGGGTCTGGTTCTTCTGAACGCAAGAGATGCAATCTGACATGACCTTCCGACTCAAAGCGCAACTCGGATCCAACATGTCTGCGCTCCGACTCCGGCACAAAACAGAAAAACGGCACAAAACAAAAAGAACCGAAATCGCTTGTTTACTTGCTATGGACGGGTCGCCAACGGCACCTCCTGGCGTGCTCAAGAGCTCACCCGCGCTATTGGCCAAGTCTTCAACTGTAACCCGCCTCAGTTCGATGGCTTCCTGCGCTACTCAAAAGATGAGGATAGATATGCATGACTCTCTGGTCTGGAGGAACGAGGGTGCTCGCGGATGCTGGGGTTCTGCTTCGATGTATATAAAAGGACTGCTGTCTTTGTCTTCTACCACCTATATTCTACACCTGGGGTTTCTTCTTACCAAAAGGCCGTAGCACTTCGGCTATGGTGTTCTGCTCTTCTCAAAAGTACGAATGTAAACCTTGATGGCTTTTCCGCCTGGAGCATTGGCATACTCGATAGATGACATAGTTCGAATTCAACCCACATCAACAAACATCATCATCTTATTACCTGGCAACAATCCTATGTGATCTTTCCTCATATTGAGAACTGAATGCACTCATCTGATGACCTCTTGCTCTTCTCAAATGTTCTACCGCGCCGCTCCATGGCTTCTCGGACTGGAACAATGCTCAACACGGGGGATAGCAGAGTCTGACCCCACCCTCACATATAAAGCCACCTTTCTTCTTGCCTTCTTTCTTTACAAAGACTCCACACTTCTACTTATTATAACCTAAAAGCCAACTATCTCTGTTCGATGGCTTCGCGGACTTCTTCCAAAAACACTGTGTGATGTCCTGCGATGACTGTCCGACCTAAAAGTCCTGCGATGCATTCAAATGGCGAGCCTCTACTTCAATCTCAGATATAAAGACTTGTTCCTTCTTGGTCCTTACTCCACTATTATTCCACGCTTCTGCTCTCTGTACACCAAAACTAAGAAGCTCACCGGTATGGTTTCGCGGACTTCTTCCGAAACAATCGCATCATTGTCCAATAGTCAGCAAATACACCCCATGAAGTTAAGTGTACTTCGGGGCTAGAAATCCCGCCCCAGAATCGCAAACAATTCGACGACTTCGTGATGTCGTTGTGTGACGACCACCAAAAACGCAATACTAAACCTAACATGAGAGGGTTTGGGTAGTAGTACGCGTACCCACCGTATCTTCTCCTCGGATCCAGCATAAAAGACAGCCTTCTTCCTCTCTCACTCCTCCCTTCATATCACACTTCCGTTCTTCTTGACTACGAATTTCACGATTAGCCTACAATGTTCCTGTGGCCTTCTTTCCAAAAATGCGTTTTGACGCCGTCATGACTTTGCGGCCAGCGAAAGACTTCGATATCTTCCAACCTTATCCATACTTTATACCAGATCCTAGGTAAAAACAGATTGATAAAGTACATGTCGATCGGTTAAAAGCAAACAGCAGAAACAAGACCATGTTCGGCAAGACGTGCCGGAAAAAGTCCTCAATACATCTCATGTGCGGTTGAAGTCGTCAAAGACTAACATTTTTAACATATGAGCGCGCGGCTGAGGAACTGTACCTAGGTATATATAAACTCCCTGTCTTCGCTGCTGGCTTCTTCTTTATCCCCACATTTGTATTCCGCATATCCAAAGCGTGGAAATGATGATGCATGGCGGCCGGCTTTCCCGTCTCCAAAAACACAAATGAAACCAGAATATAGTGTGCCATTCGAAATCGCCAAAAGCATTTACATACAAGTTGATGAGCGGCCATCGGGAGGAGTGGATATATAAATCTTCTCCTCGCTGCCTCTTTCCCTTTTATCTACACATTCCTATTCTGCCTTTTCCAAAACTGACTGAGTCCAGTCTGATGGCAGCGGTCTTGCCGGCCTTCTAAAAAGGAACTGGAAACAACACGATGCTGTGCCGCTGGAAACCTCAGAGACTACCAGACCCATTCCTATGAGCGCGCAGTGAGCGTCGTATATATAAACCTCCCCTTTGCGCCGTCTCCTTCTTTCTCACCTACACATTGACCATTCCGCATGTCCAAAAAGCTCATGAGTCTGAGTTCATGACAGCTGTCTCTTTCTTCTTCCAAAAAAGCCGAAAACCACCACTATGACGTGTTTGCGGGCTTCTCTGCGATCAAAACGGGCGTTCAAGATCGTGATGAAGGCGGCGAAGCTGTCCAAAAATGTTATGCGATGAACTCATGGCCAGAACTCTGATCCGGGGGACTCAAAAGACAAATTCCTTCGTGGCATGTGGGTGCGTTGGGAGTGTTGAAAGACTACACCAATGTCTTGATGCTTGCCTCGTTCTGGGATTCGTTTGCTGCGGGTGTATAAAGCCTTGCTCACGAGTCGTTTTCTCGTCTTCAATTACCTACACTGTTCTTGTTGAAACTAAAAACTGTGGCCGCTTGATTCATGTTCTTTTGTGTCTGGTCTCCTAAAAGTAGCAGACAGCAACAACATGCGTGCGAAAGGTGTCGAACGAGAGGCTTTTGGGGGCGCGCGGCTTCTACCAAGCTATTGCTCTCGTTAAAAGGCTGGAGCCAAAAGTGATGTCGCTGCCCTGCTGTGTTAGGGCTAGCACACAGAAAGACATCGAGAGCAACACGCATGTATTGCCCGGGCTCAATCGTATGCTTGTATTACGTTAACCCGATCCAATGTGAGGTCGTTCTCGTCATCTCATCAGGCTCATTCCATCGTCATTACTACCCCTTCCTCAGACCCCTCTTAACCCTGCATCTCAATACCCCCACTCCCGTGGATTACCTCACCCGTACAATAGCTTCCCAACGGACTAGCAAGATGCACATAACACGTCGCCATCTCGACCGGCATTCCTGGGCGATTCAGCGGGCAAGCGCCCACACCCAAGCTATCCATCGCATCAGCCGGGTTATTCTTCGTCGCGGGCTGAAGCGGCGTCCAGATGATACCCGGCGCAACAGCGTTAACACGAATTCCATTCGGCGCCTGCTGCTGCGCAAGACCGCGGGTGAAAGTTACGATGGCGCCCTTCGTGGAGGCGTAGTCGAGGAGCATGGGGTTGGACATGTAGGATGCAACTGAAGCGCTGTTTACGATGCAGTCGCCGCGCTTCATGTGTTTGAGCGCGTATTTGGACATGGCGAACATGGAGATGACGTTGGTGTGGAAGGTCTTTTCGGTTACGTCGAGGTCGATTTCGGTTATGTCTGTGCAGGCTTCTTGCATGGCGGCTGTTGTATCATTAGTTTGGATTGAGGATATGAATAAAGTAACGTGATCTTACCGTTGTTGACGAGGATGTTCAGCTTGCCAAAGACCTTCATGTGTTGCTCAACGGCTTGCTCGCAGTTCTTCCTCTCTCGCAGGTTGAGCTGCATGAGGTTTGCTTTGCGGCCGGCTTCTTCAATCTTCTTCTTGACGTATTGCGCATCCTCCTCTTCTTCGGGCAAGTACACGATGCTTACATCTGCTCCTTCTCTTGCGAATAGAATAGCTACAGCGCGTCCGATACCAGAGTCTCCACCTGTGATCAACGCAGCCTTGCCTTGCATCAAACCACGGCCTTCATATTCCTTAAGGTAGGGTTTCTGGTTCTCGTCCCAGAACTCGAGACGCGACCATTCTGCTTTTTGATCGGTCTTTGCGTCTAGACCAGGGCCGCCTTCTTGGTTTTGAGGTGTGATCTCTGTGGCAGGGTATGCGGTAACTGGGCCCTTGTTGTCGCTCATCTTGAAGGTAGTGTGACTAAAGGTACGTGTAATTGGCCTGAATAGGATAGAAGAGGTGATTGGCTTCCGGAAAACAAAGTTCGAAGATCTGATGATGGTTGTTTTGAACATCTCTGTCGATCGGGGGGTAGTAATTGTAGGGGCCGGTTTTGGTGGGGTTGGGATTTGATACGATCGTCATCGAGCGTCATCGTTGGAATTCAACACCACGTCACAACAATGAGTCTAGACCTCTGTATGCTGAAATCTGTACATTAACCGGTGCGTGGAAGTGAAATAGCGATGATGTTATCGGCATAAATGCACGAAACTGGCTGATTGATGAAAAGTCGCGTCCGCTACCCCGGAACGCATCCGCGGCGCTTCGCAGGTGCAAATACTTGCACACTATGTCGATCCAAAAGCATTCGCGCAAATGAGCTCGCAACAGCGATTGCCAGTCCCCAAGAACATTGATGAACGGCCAAGAGCGAGGAACTCACATAGCCACATGCGGCGAAGGAGGCTCCCATGCGTCGGTCGAAAAGCAACTCATTCACACCAGCATACCTCTTATCTCGCGACTATAATCTCTTCGCCATACTTTGATGGGGGATTCAGGCGTTGTGTATGTTACTTGTATCACGTGGAACTTCCGCGATATGCTGTGCGTCTTCTCGCGTCGCCTCGCTACTCTCCTGGCAACAGGGTGACCCCATATACGAAAAGCTTGGTGCAGTGACATCTTCACGTCGGTCAATGATATTTCCTCGCTACAATCACCAGTCCAGTCTCGGATGTACCGGCGGTCTGTTCTCATGGCAAGCATCCATTTGAATAACCCTTTGCGACATTTCTACAGGGTCTCTGTCCATATAGAAAGGTATTGATGACCTAAAGTAATTCTATGAGTGGGCTTCGGGTCTGCCAATGGGTGGGAAGCTTGGCTGCGCTATCAGTACACTAGTTACCCCACCAGGCCAATGCACCTCAAATTATTGTAGATCTTCCATCTCATTTCCTCCCTGCGTTAACAAGACTACAGACAAACTGCGAGAAAGCATATTTCATGGGCTGAAAGTACCGCGTGTTATCGAACCCCTTACCTCCTGCAGTCGGCCCGCAAACGGCGCATCAATAATATCATCACTCTCGATTACCATGGGTCAGCCAGCCGGCGACGATGTGCTGAATCGGAAGTCGTTGTCTCTTATGTATCGGAACTACAAGAAAGAGACAGAATACATCGCTGGCTGGCTCGCGTGGACATCGCAACAATGCGGATACCTCAGAACAGCTATGGAGGCAGAGACACAAGCGCCACGTAAGAGAGGAAAGGCAGGCAAGGCTCGGAAGCCAGCCAAGCAGCAGTCCAAGAATGACACCAAAGTCCAATACGCCATCAACGTCTCTGAATTCAAAGGGATGGCTGAGCATATTGCTTCATTCAACCCAAAGATCGAAGTCCCAGCAGCGCTTCAAAAGGTGTTTGAGCGGGTCATATCAGCTCGAAACGAGATGGCAGATTGGTTCAGAAAAGAACATAGCAGCGATCAGGGGAGTAACATGAGGCATTCTTACTTCATCAATGTACTGGAGAATGCTGCAGCGATACTCAAACCTTTGACACCGGAAGCACCGGTGGTTGCAGAGAACATCAAGCTGCAAAACAGATTTGCCGGACTCGCAGTCGAAGAGACAGACCCATTGAACGAGCTGATAGTCGAGGTTCAAGAGAAGCAGCTACCTGATATCCACCCTCTTCCTCTTGAGCAGGATGAGGAAGGTCTCGAGGACGACTTTTTCTTTGCTATCGCTACATTCCTCGACGACATCTCCAAGGTGCGCAAATACATCACTGGACAGTGGCATGAATATCGACGAACAGGCGAAGGCCTCACACGTACTTCAGTGCTTTCTAACACAGCTGTTGATCTGGTGCGATCCGCCGAGCATCAATTCGACCAAATGCTTAGTCGGCCCAAGAGGTAAAAGGTAGCCACGGTAGCGCGCACAGACACGGACTGACTTCTATCGATAGGTATCCCACCGCAGAATACCCCGTATGGACGCTACCAGCGTTGCTGGACCTTCGCATTCACGGTAAACTTGATGGAGATTGGGACAAATAAGAAATCGATCTACTTGTCAAGCCGTCTTCGAAGATCTCGCCAAAATGCAAAAGCCAGTCGTGTGAGCAACAAGACTTCTGCATGTCTAGTGTCTATACGGGCCTTACACTTTACTCGTGGATTCGGAAGAATTCCATTCGCGAACACGCCCCCATTACACCAGACTGTTTCGAAGATCGATTGGCCAATACAGCCCCGAGGGTGCTCGAGACCTTGGATTGGGTTCAGATCTTCGATGTCTCTACAAAGATGAACTCTTTCTTGGCGATTGATGAAGCCACACGGGGCATAAAACACATCCTTGGGTCCCAGGAGGTACCTATATGGGTCACTCTAGCGGTTCAGATGTTTTTTGACATTAAAATGGTATTGGAAGGAAATAACGCGCTGGCAAAGCCATTCGCAGATTACCAAGCAAGCGTTCAAAAGGCGACTTCCGAATTTTTACTCTTCAATTCAACCGATCGGCCGTTCCCAAAGGATCAAAGCGCGAACAAAGTCTTTAAAGACTATTACGCGAACACGCGCGGCGTTCTACGAGATCACAAAGATATTGCAATAAACAATCGCTGGGGCGATGGGTTACAGACAATGCAGAATCACAAGGTCCTCGGGAAGGTCGCGAATAACCGAGACTGGTGTAAGTGCTGAATGCGCAACGTGATCACAAGATTGAGACTGACTTGCAACAGTTCTGCGAAGACACCCTGTTCGTTGTGGACTTCTGAAGTACGAATTAGAGTTGCAGCTCTACTGGAGATTCTCACAGATTGAGAAAGGTGGAGCCAGGATCCTCTACATAGCCTGGATATACGTTGTGGGAAGCAGAATACTTCACCCGGATGCGCCCCGATGGCCTGACATGGAATTCCTACTTCACGGACGACAAGACAAACTGTTCTTTGGAAACTGCCCCAAGACTATCAAAGAGGCAGTGACGAAGCTTGATTTCGGCCGTGGATACTCTATTGCTAACCTAGCGAGTAACCGGCGGTCCGAACACGAGATCTGGAATGCCAAACAGATTCGTCGGATCGAAGAGAATCTCGTTGTTGGAAGACTGTTCTTAGACCGGTTGCACAAAGAACCGAAGACGACAACAGAGGCGCATGAGTGGGTCACCAGACTAGTGAACCTCATGTGCAAACCAGAGTCACAGAAGCTCATGGACAGACAGGAAAACCTTCCTGAAGGCACCTACGAGACATCTGAATTCTTGAAGTCTGTGGAAGCCCAGCGCAATCCATTGGCATTGCTCGGACAGCTTCGCCTCTGGCTGCTAGCTGATGAAAACGATGTACACTTCGACTGGGCTGGTATGCTATCAACCTGTACAAGTATCTGGAAGACAATTTTACCAATCCTTGGAGATCACAAGATGTTCCAAGGCGAGCAGGACATGCTAGATACACCCGGCAATACCACAGCCCGTCTACTCGAAATGGCGGCTATAGGACAAAACATCGGGGTGTCCGTGCCTCTCTTTGAGACAATTTGGCAATCTATACAGAGTACGATCCAGACGCCGTCATCAGAGCAGAATGGCAACAAGACTTGGGTCGGCGACTTGCGATTGAACAAGCTTCTGAACGACAGCACTCCTACAATCATGCTCATGAATCCGGGCCCCGTGAGCTTCTCGAACATCTACGCAAACTGGAGCAATGACGATAAGAGAGAGTCTCGTGTGGGTAGAGCAGTTTGGCATGCGATGCAAGAACTGGGTGACAAAGCTTATAATGGAGGAAACAACGAAGAGCAACGAGACGGAGAGGCAGGAGACAAGTCAGTTACCGAAGAAGCAGCGGGCGAAGAGCTAGTCAACGACATGCATACAGACGGGGACGAACTAAGCGACCACTCAGACAGTCAAGACGAGAGAACCGAGGAGATCGACGAAGCAGCTTCAGACGCCGGCAGTGACTTCAGTGTGCACGAGTTCACTTTTGACCTCAATGCGCTCGCTAAGAACGGCAGCAACCACATTATCATGGGTAACAATATGAAAGCCCCTGTAGTCATCAACAGCATGCAGATGTCTCAGCTACGTGCGGGACCTGATGGAGGCTTGGTCGTGGGCGGCAGAGCCCCTAGCCAGGCTTCTCGAATAGAGATGCTACCTCCACGGCAGTCGGAACATGCCCGTGCGATAGCTTCGGCGGAAGATGTCCCCGAACTATGTGCATGCGGTCTGAGTCGGTACGGAGTGAGTGTAAGGCCGATACTGAAGATGGATACCAAGGCTGGGAAGTTGCAGCACCAATGTATGGGAGCGCTTTTTGAGGGGATCGACGTGCCGAATCGTGATCTTGGCGACGCTATCAAGGTAAGACGGGTCATTGTTCCAGGTTCGCAAAGGGAGACAGAAGAAAAGTAACTCAGGATATGGGGGAGATGTGATCGCGGAGGTGGTGTAGCTGGTCGATTTATGTAAATGACCGCGATGTCTATAGCACCCGGCCTGCTAGCGGTCGCTCCATGATACAATCAGCCTTCTTCGAAACATGCTGTTACAGCGACGGTAGTGACGACATTGCGAACGTACCACGTGCTGCCAGGTGCTCGCTGGAAATGCATCGCACCGGGCCTCCAAGCTTCGGCTTTCCTTGCACCCACAAAGGCTTACGGGAAACAACCACGAGCACGACCTCAGCGCATGCCAGAGCGTTCGCCTTGGAATTTTGCAGCAAGGTGCAGATCAAAGCCAATGCAGATCAAAGCCAATGCAGATCAAAGCCAATGCAGATCAAAGCCAATGCAGATCAAAGCCAATGCAGTTGCACGATAGACGCTGGAAATGAAGTTCTCGCACAAAACCAATACCCGGGTGCGTGTTTTCGCTAACAGAGACATGCCGACGTACGATCAGGTAGGCTACCGCTGCTAATACCCATGGGATTGTTTCCGAAAAGCAATTTGAATGCAGGTTGCACGCGGCGCAGCTTCTCAAGATCATCAGGAACACTTCAATGCGTTGCTTTTGATGGACTATTGTACCATACTTGGACGATTGGGCAACAGCAACCCAGGAAATTGCATATGGCCTGCGCCACGAAATGACGCTGGAACAACACTCCAAGATACCAGGCGTACAACATAGAGTTTCTGTCTTTACTGGCATTCCATGCGCTCGCTTGTTCAAACTGTCGAAAGGAATGGAAAACGACCTCAAGAGGTCGCTCTTGTCCAACTGCGGTGTTCGGAGAAGGGTAGACAAAGCGGGGCGCTTGATGGGCGTCTGCGATGTTACTAATCGTGCGACTACCATATTTGACTACCTTGTTTGGTAATCTCCACACGTCAGTAAGCTAATGTCGACGCCGCACACTCCCTACCGATAGTCGTCACGGCCGGCAGACTTCCAAGATGCGCTCGCATGCATCCGAATCCTCCGGATCAGACGGGCGCACAACTCAACGAGGAAGGTCAGGCCCTCCTCGTGGCGACATGTCGATCGTTGAGCGGAGAGCCAGCATCTGGACCAGAGTGGAGGAAAAGTACCAAGGCTTTCGGCAGTGCTCACGCGTGTCGCTCGTATTACCAGGGAGGCCGGAAAGCGATCAGTTGCTACGATTTCAAATGCCGGTTCGGTAAGAGTTCGCCAACCTGCGTTGTTTGAAACATAGCACGGCATTGTCTCAAACAACCAGACGTTTTCGTCGCAGGAGTGAACCAAAATTGCTGCATGCGCCGGTGATGTGTTGGGAAGCGATGGGTCTTGTCGATAGGCTGTTTATCGATAGCCCTCTGGCGGCTGAAACAGCGGCGTCGTGCGGCAGCGGAAGCCCCGTATTCACCCCTGCTGCCACGACACGCAGCCGAGGGGCGATCCGACCACGAGAAAAACAGCCCCAAGTCATTACAAACGAAAATCAACATGACATCACGCCTCTTGATTCGTTCTTTTGCGTGATGAGGTTGATCTCGGTGTTTTCCGAGATCCACCGTAAATCTTGAGACTTTGATGTCTGGGCTTCGAGAATACGAAATGTACGTATGCAAACTCCACATGAGGTTGGGAATGGCACAGCAGGCTGAGACACCGACAGCTGCGTGACAGGATTAGTACTATGCAATAAGAAGGGGCACAGTTCGTCATCTCTACGCCGTACGTAGGCGCGCAGATGACTACCAATGATAGTGGGTGTGTTCTTCTACACACCGGGCGAACCCAGTTCGTGACTAAGAAACTAGTTCTTTCGTACCTACATTAGCGTCAGGCACACACTCCACCAGCTGAGCGCCGGCGCAGCTCTTTGGTCAGCAGGCCGCCTGTCAGAGACAGCAGAAGCCACCGTGCAAACCCCTCACGGGCGTCGGGAAATGCGGGGCGAAAAGTAAGCGCCTCCGAAATGATGGCCTGGACATTCCGGGCACCTTGGCTGCTTCTGGAATGCTGGGTGGTGAGCATTCTTAAGGGCTGCTGCTCGCCCTTGCAGAGGGATATCCTTCACGCTCACAGCAAGCAAGTCACTCTCTCTTCAGTCATTCATTGACCAGTCATTCATTCTGTAGCCCGGTGCTATCAACGAAACACTCATTCTTTATCACCTTCTTTATCACATTCTTTACATATACCCACCCAAAAATATACCCAAAGAACCATTATCCCTACGATCAACATCAATTCAACCATGTCTATGTCCAAGATCTTCCAGACTGGCGCTCTTGTAGCTGCCCTCATCTCTACCGTGGCCGGCCACACCTCTGTCGAGCAGTTCGAGGCCGGAGGCAAAACCTACCCCGGTTTCCGTCAGGCTTCCAAGCAGGATCCTGGTAACAAGTCGCCTGCTTGGTGGACCAACCAGGGCTGGGGATACCAGCCCATCTACGGCGACAAGCTCAGCCAGTACGTTCATACCAACCCCAGTTCTACCCTTTCGGGCATGTACTAACCGAACACCAGCCCCGACATCATTGCCCACAAGGATGCCTCCCCCTCCCCATACACCGTCGAAGCCCCCGCCGGCCAAGACGTAACCTTCCACTGGCACCACGAGGGCAGCTGCGGCTCCGGCGAAGAGGGCTGGGACTGCTCTCACCACGGCTGGACAGCCACCTACATGGCATCCTGCAACGGCGACTGCAAGAACGTCGACAAGACGAAGCTCGAGTTCTTCAAGATCCACCAAAGCGCCCTCCTCGACTACCGCAAGGGTCGCTACTCTTCCGGCCAAGCCCAAGGCCAGACCGGCTACTGGGGCACCGACGCCATCTTCTACGACAACGGAAACACCCAGAAGGTTACCATCCCTTCTGAGATCCCCAGCGGCAACTACGTCCTCAGGACTGAGGTTGTGTCCATCCACAACAACGGCGATGTTAGCCAGCGCCAGTTCTGGCCTCAGGCTTTCAACATCAAGGTCACTGGCGGTGATGACAGCAAGCAGGTTCCTGCTGGAAAGAAGGGTACCGAGCTGTACAAGGCCAGCGATGAGCTTCTCCAGTGGGACCTCTACTGGCACCAGGCTGGCGAGACCATCGAGGATGCGCCTGGTCCTAAGCTCGCCGCTGTCGCTTCCGTTCAGAAGCGTGCTCACGCTCGTGACTTCTCTACTTAGGCAACTCTTTTTACACTTTGTTCTTCTTCTTTCTCCGTCTACTTAGGGATGGTTGGTCGCATGCTATATGGGTTAGCTGCGCGGATTACAAAATGGTGTATATGGGCATCGATTGGGGTTTAGGCTTTCACGGACTGGGACTGGGATTCTTCTTCTTCCTGGGCATCACTTTCGATTGGACTGGGTCTTTCGGTTAGGATGATGCTGCGACGACCTTTTATGATTCACTTCTTAGATACTCTTAAGCATTACTGCAATGCGAGCTTTGAGCAATGCGCTCAACCCCACCATGGTTCCGATGTCACGATCTCATGACTCTTTCGCAGTGTAGTCCGTGGTTGATAGCCGGTGTGTCATCATCGTGCTTGGTATTCGTGAGCGTTCTCATTTGCTTAAGCGGGTCTTCATCGTTTGACTCCCCAGACAAGCGCTTTGCTCCCCTGGCCTTACAAGATGTACACCCTCGTTGGGTTGTTGTAGTGCTCACTTGACAATACCACGTCCTCACGGTCCACCCATTCCACACACATAGTCCATGCGTGTAGGCGCATCATCATCATCCACCATACATCTTCGTACGAGAAATCATTATTGCTTGGTCTTCGACGTTCCATTCCTTCGACAAATTTGGGTACATTTTCGGCGTAGATGTACGCACGTTCCGTGAAGAGTGGATTCAGTCCTTTTGGAAGCGAGGCGCTGTCTCGGCTTTTGTTGTGTCCGCTTTTGATATTCTCTTCGGCTTGCCGAAGACTAGAAGCGTTGACATCTATGTGACAAGGTATGTAGAATCCGTACATGTCCCATAAACTCGGCCCCTCGGTGTACTTCAGATAGCGTGTTGTGTAATCAAAGGCTCTGTGGAAGATAGCTCTCCACGTCGTATTGGTCCGGCGATACTCGGGGCGGAGTTTTGTGAGGGAAAAAGAATAATCCCAGGCTTTCCAATCGTTGTAAAACCGTAATACTCGCTTGCACGGATCTGAAAGTGTTGTCTTCCGCTTTTCGAGCTCCAGTCTCCAGATGTTACGTGACTCCTGTCTTTCGCCCATTGTCGTCACTGGGAACGGAAACGGGTTGTCGATTACATTAGATGCAATTTGTTCACTCGGAAGCCATTTGCACCACAACCCAAGGATATCGGTGAGAGCGGGAAGTCTATGAGCAGGATCTGGGTGCGACAAGCTTGCATCTAAAGCATCTTTCCCATCGGGACATATCCGCAGTGACTTTAGCACCCTACTCAGATCCATCTCTCCAGGATATCGTCTCTTCCTCAAATGAAGTCTGGGGTTGGATGCCAAGTTGTTATCGTCAAAGCAGGGTAGTCCCATGCTGGATAAAATTCCCAAGGTTAACTGAAGCGTGTAAGTCGAGACTGCAGAAGGACACAAGGTGGAAACACCTTGCAAGCGGCGCCTTGTTGGCAATTTTGTTGTACGAGCCGGTTTGAATGGCATCTTGCGTCGAGCGGAGCCACTGACGAAGTGTGATGAGATTGTGACAAAAGAATTGATGTATCGTACGTACCTGGTCTGCAACTTTACTAGAAATACGGTTTTTGAGATCCGGGATAGGGGCACCGGCACTCGTGCCATATTCCACTACCAGCCCCATACCACGTACGATGGAGGTGGAGAAGCTTCGGTCTTCACCTACTGCACGCAATATGCCTTCGTTGAGTCGAAAATCTGTCCAAGTCATGTTTAAACGGTAAGCCATCGTGACCAAACATCCGAGTGTTGTACTAGCAACTGGTCGCACAATGTCTGGCGGCATGAAGTCCCAAGAACGAGTTTTTCCTATATCGGGCAGA